AAAAAAAAAAAAAAAAAAAAAAAAAAAAAAAAAAGGCAAAAAGAAACCATCACTAGCCTAGATCCCAGGAGCGGGGCCATCATCTCTTTACTCGTTTTAACCCGACAATGCCCAGCGTTCGCTCCGCCCGGGGGCGGCACCGCCGGGAGCGGCGCGTTGTGCCGGGACAGCGGCACCCGGGGCAGGCGGCGGGGAGTGCCCCCTGTCCCCCTCGGCACCGGGGAGTCGCCTTTGCTGTGAGGCGGCCGCTCCCTCCTCCATCCCGAGCCCCTGCCCCTGTCCCGGCCGTGCCCGCCCCGCTCCGCCGCCTTCCCCGCTCCTCCTCCCGGCCCGGCCGCGCTGCCCCCGCCCATGAGGCGGCCGGGGCCGCCTTCCCGACAGCGGCAGAAGATGGCGGCGGCCGCGGGCTGGGCGCTGCTGGCCCTGGCGCTGTGTGTGAGCGCGGCGGCCGCGGCCGGCGAGCCCGAGGGGAAGCGGCGGGCGGGGCCGCCCAAGAAGAAGGACATTCGGGACTACAACGATGCGGACATGGCCCGGCTGCTGGAGCAGTGGGAGGTGCGGGAGGGGCCGGGAGGGGCCGGGACCGGCGGCGGGAGCCCCGCGGCTGCCAGGGAGCGGGGCCGGGGCAGCTCCGCGGTGGAGCGGCCGCGCTGCCCGTGCGGGGGATGGCGGCCCCGGGCCTGGTGGTGACCGGGAGGGGGGATCCCCGATCCCAGTGCAGGGTGGCAGGTGGGGGTTTGATCCCTCAGAGCTTCTGGGTCCGTGTGGGGGGGTTGCAAAGTCCGAACGAGCGGCCACAGAGGCGGCTCCTGGGGGAGCTGCGCTCAGCCTGCCCTGCCGCCCTGTCCCGCCTTCCTGGCGCTCGGTGCACGCCAGCATCCTGGTCTGGCTTAAAAATCAGGCTTTTTTTGGGGTTATTAATTTTGTGATCGAGTTATGGAAACCAGGAGGAATATTCATTTCACGTTTACGTGATTAGATATGTAGTGGTATTGGTTTGTGTTGCTTTTCTTATCGCTTATCATAGTAAAGGCTTCTCATTCCAGCTCTCTTCGCCCTCCTTCATCCCCCATCATCCCACTGCCTTAACTTTCTTTGGCGGTTTCCCATCATTCTCTTCTCCATGTGGTTGTCATACTACTGTTCAGTTCCTTTCACTATTTTGCCTTCCATCATCTTCTGCTAAATGCCAGAGCACTCATCATTGTCAATTTCTCTTTCCCTTGAGGATTTCCCATGGAATATCTTGCACAGAATCTGAAGGAAATAATAGAGTGAAAACTTTTGTTTCTAGTAACACCAGTTACAGCTGTAAGTCAAGGTGGAGAAGTAGGTTTTGAATGTGAAATATGGATAAAGTAATTTCTGTGAGAAGTAAGGATGCTTGCCTTGGTCCTAGTTTGAAGGTTGGGGACTTGTTCATCCCGTGGACTGTTACTGTGTATCTGCCTTTAGGAAGGGAGCTTCTTAGAAAATTGAATTAAAATTTGAAATAAAATCAGAAAAAAACTTAAATTTTGCCTTTCTGTTACTGGCATCAGCCAAAGACCCAGCTGCTAAAAAATCAGGGCTTAAATAATAATATTGCCCAACTTCAACCAAATTTGGCATTGTAGGAAAAAATCTTACAAGATGAGCATCTCTTGAGTTTTAATGAGATGCCTTGGATGAAAGGGATTAGGTTAATGCTGTTGTGAGATTGATTGACTGATCTGTCTCCGCCCTGTGGCACGAAGGTCAGGAGGCTGTTGAGGGTTTTTCCTCCTCAGCTGGAGCAGGTCTCTGATCCAGGTCACCACGTGCTGCACAAATGCTTGTGGCCACACTGTGTGCACATGTGGCAGAGTGGAGTTGCTGCTGAGGCTGTTGCTGCCACTGAGGAGAGACACAGCAGAGCCCCAGAAGAAGAGTTATTACTGAGGCAGGACTCAACAATTAAGGGCTGTTTGGTCTCCGGGATGGTCAGATGCATGGCATTTTGCCTGGTGGGAGTCAGGATGCACAGGGAGCATGAAAGACTTGAGGGGGTGGTGGCTGGAGGACAGAGGAGAAAAAAGGGCATGAGTACACTTGATGGAGTGGGATGAGAAACAAAGAGGCCATTGTGGATTTGGATAAGAGCAGGAATTACGCTCAGGAGTTGAGGGGCACAGGGCATGGGACTGTACAGAATCAATCTAGTAGAGTGAGATGACTTCTAATATTTTTTATTTCCCAGGCAATTAGCCTGAAACCAATTGGAGGATTGTGGCTTTAACACCCCTGGGTTTGGCCATGAACCTGGTGAGGCTGAGGCTGTGTCTCCAGCAGCCTTCCCAGCAGGAGCAGCCACCTCTCTGTGCTGCCTCTTGTGCTGCCCCTTGCACCATGTGCATGACTGCCTGGTGATCCAGGAGAGTGATCTAGTGGAAAACGAGCACAGGGAACAGGGAAAAGAGGCAGAGGCGCTTCAGCAGCTCAGTTGCACAACTAGAGCTTGAAGGAAGGCATTGAGGGATTTCCCTCATGGAAAGGGACTCTCCAGAAGCTTTGAGTGCTGGGGAGCTGGAAACAGAACTGAGAATCTGGTCCGGAGGTCTCCCTCTTACTGAAAGGTCATGTGCTTTAAATAGTTCATTGTTGTTATAAGCTCAGGGTTTCTCAGGCTTGACTTTGAGCTAAGATCATTGAATAGGTGGAGGAATTAAGTGACATATGTTGCCAATGTTTTTAAATATAAAAATCCAGGACATTTATGAGAAGTGTGGGAGAATGGGAGCTGAGGGGAAGGCACATGTAGTTATTACTGTGTCTGTAATGCTTTCCCTCTGCAACCTCATGCTAGTGTTTAAGTGAATGAGTGTGCTAGACTTTTCAAAGGAAAAGCTTACACTTCCAGGTTTTTACTTTGTAAACACAAAACTGCATGATATAGTTTGTACAAGATAAAGAAAAGAATTTTCATGTAAGGGAGCTTTTGACAGCTTCTGATAATAATTCCATCCAAACTGTAACAGTACAGCTTTAGGAACATTTAGTTGAATAGTTCAGGGAAAAATAGGTGGTATATGTTAGTAGGTTGTGTTGTCACTAAATCTGAAGTCAGTTTCTGTATTGCATAAGGAGTATTTGGAAACATTTTTTTCTGCCTTTCCCTTTCCAAACTGAAATAAGCTGGCTTTGCACTAGCCAAACCAGACTATTTTAAATATCAATTTCCTTTTAATTCTGAAGAACGTTTTTCATTCAATCACGTAAGATTTTGTATTTTTAGTGTACTTTACCAATCTCAGCATTTTCCAGCTTCCTCCCAGATAAGTAATGTTCCTTCTTACTGAGGGCAGTGGGACTTTCCTGGGGCTCTCCTTTCCTCCCAGTTCACTTAATATGGAAATTTCAAAGGCATGTGAACTGCTTTAGGGCGTTTCAGATTTGCAAAAATGAAACAGATATTTAGTAAGAAAAGAAAGGATAAAATCTAAGGCTGCAAGTTTTGTTTGGTGGTACCTAAACTTCAGGCACTCTTGTCAGAAAGACAGCAAACTCCATGGAATGGAGATGGGGAAGGAACATAAGTCACTTGTGAAACTTTAGGTGAAAAGGTGAAACTTTAACCTTTAAAGGCTATGGGATGCTCCGTGGGTGTTGTAGGAGGATGATGTTGGATTTTGTACATGCTTGTGCGGAGATGTGAGGGTAATGCATACCAAGTCCTAAAAATCAAGCTTGGCTCCTGACCTTTGAGGCCTCTGAAGGGGATATCTTTAGATATTGCTACAGTTCATGTTCCTAACAGAGTCGTGTATTTGAAGTCATGACAACACCTAAAATATCTGCCTTAATTCCTGCTTATTTAATAGTACTTGGGTGGATGCCAGTGTAAAACTTCTGGATTTTTCTGTTCTATTTTTTGCTTTTTAATTCTATGATACAAACACTGTCTCTAAGAAATCAGATTCTGGCTTAATGTAAGTTGTCAGTATATCCATTCCTCTCTGTTGTGAGCTGTTTCAAGGGGCAGCAGTTTGAATTGTGCCTTTCTAAATATTTAAATGCATGTCAGCCTTAGCAGAGTCATCAAGAGGGGTTTCTTTTCTTTTTCGTAAGAGTGATTTATTCTTGGTGATTATGTTGTCAGACTGAGCTGCATCTGTGCATTAGGAAAGTCATGAAACCTTTAATAAAAGTCTTCCTATGGTATGAACATTGAAAATCTGAATTCGTGGGGTTTTATTTGTTTAAAGAAACAAAGAAAGGAAAATTAAATTCTCAAGCAATTGCACAATTCCCAGAGGTGAGTTTTGACCTCTGAAAGCAAAATGCAGATGAGTGATTTTTTTATTTATGTGTGTACGAGGGTTTTTTTATTGTGACTTTCTTATTTCATCTCATATACTTAATACATTTTTTGTGAAACTCTGAAGAAGTGTTATTTAATGAATTTCCTAGGTGGAATTGTATTGAATCAGCCTTGAGGCTGAAATATTTCTCAGTACATGGTAAAATGAAATTCTACCTGTCAATACAAAAATGTGTATCATTTTGAGGGGAGGGTTATAAATGGAAAGAGCATTCCTGGTGAAGTTCCTGAAAAAGAAGTCAGTTTCTTTTTGTTCCAAAATCTCCATAATTAGACTAAAAAATATTTTGTCAAAGAAGAGTTATTCTGTAAACAAAGAGAAATTAAAAAAAAAAAAAAAAAAAGAACATCCTTGTGGAACAATTTAATTAAAAGCCTCCTTGTCCTTTTCAAAACAGAAGGATGATGACATCGAAGAGGGAGATCTCCCTGAACACAAGAGGCCTCCAGCACCAATAGATTTCTCAAAAATTGATCCAGGCAAGCCTGAAAGCATCCTGAAGCTGACCAAAAAGGGGAAGACTTTGATGATGTTTGTCACGGTGTCGGGAAATCCCACAGAAAAGGAGACGGAAGAAATTACCAGCTTGTGGCAAGGTGGCCTTTTCAATGCCAACTACGATGTGCAGAGGTAAACCGTGATTCACAAGAATAAAGTTCCTGCCTTTGCAGAACCCTTGTTTCTTTCTTCCTGAAAACCTGTTCATCCTGTGTCATTCCCTACCTCCATAATCCATTACTGTTTCTTAGTTTCTATATCAGTTTATATTCCAGTTTGTTTCAAGTCACGCTACAAAACTTCTGGTGTGGGGCACAAATCTTTTCAGTGCTTACACATGGTGTGTGCATATATAGCCTGGATTCTTTTTATCTCATTACTTTTCAGCTATTTATCAATTTTAGCTGCAGTAGTTTGCCTTTATGTACATAGTGGAAAACATCACACTGGGAAGACTTGTCACCACAAAAGGCTTTTTGTTCCCCTGGCTAAAAAATGTGACTTTTTTTTCTCTCAGACAGAGGGGATCATTTTGAAATGGGAAAATGTTGTGCTCTTGTGTTGAGGCTGAGAAGGGTTGCAGAAAGTGTATAAAGCAAATTTAATGCTCATTAGTAGATTTTACATAGTGCCAAATTAGTTCTTAAGTTTTCTTCATATTCTTGCCTCCTTATTTATAAACTAATGCAGTTCGTTCTTAAACATCCTAGAAGATTGTTCTCTTGTCCCCATCCCCAGGCAACAACAAGGCCAGCATCTTGCTCTTCAATGTGTGCCTCAGTTGTGGAGGTTTTCTGAAGTAAGTGAAAGCTTTAGTATTTGAAAAGCACAGAGTTACCTGAAAAAGATCTGAATCTTTCCTCTAGGTTTATTGTTGGCTCCAATCGGGCCATCTTTATGCTCCGTGATGGTGGCTACGCCTGGGAGATCAAAGACTTCCTGATAAACCAAGAAAGGTGTGCAGATGTCACTCTGGAAGGTCAGGTTTATCCTGGCAAAGGAGCAGATGAAAATGAGAAAGGGAAAAACAAAACAAAACCTGAAAAAGCAAAGAAGAAAAAAGATGCAGAGAAGAAATCTGATAGCATTAAAGAGGACAACCGGGCGACCAAACAGAGAGAAGAGCTATGACGGACGCGTTTCCCAGACTGAACCCTGCTCTGCTGCTTCTTGAAGGGAATCTCCTTATGAGTCCTTGGTTTATTGGGGGGTGGAGGGGAGGAAGCAGAGACTACTGAGGTTTAATTTTTTTTTTTTTTTTTAAATTCACCAGTTTACTCCTTACTGTTGGCCATTTGTTTAGTTACAGGAAAGGTGACACTTCATACCACCAATTGACTACTTTAGTTTTTGTAATTTTTTTATGCTTTTGTTGTTGTTTAAAATTAACATACAAATCTTTGTGTGTAACATCAAATTTAATATTTAAGTGAAAAAGAAGAATTATGGTCTCAGAATACAGTGATGTTCATCATGATGTGCAGGTTGGTTATTGATTCGCAGCTGCTGTCAGACAGCCAAGTGCAGCACGAAAGGATTCTCTTGGAAGCGAATTTGACAGACTCAGCTGGTGCAAAACTGTCCAGAGTTGCAAAGAACAGTGTTATAGTGGCCAAAGATGTCTGAAATTACAGGGTTTAGGACATGTCTGGTTAGACTGCCTGTTTATTTGGAATAAATTTAACCTGTTCTGTCCCAAGAAATCCTTGGAAGTGCACTCCAAATCCATGCAGAAAGGAGATTCCGTGTCCTTCGTAAGTTAATTGAATTACAGCACCTGCGTAAGCAGTGTTGGGGTGAAAGGAAAAGCCAAATTCGGGGCATTCAGAACTGTGCCTGTGGAAGCAAATGTTACGTGTGCCCCCTTATCCAGATGGTGAGAAAGAAGAAATAGCTTTAACTCTGAAGTTTCAAATTGGGTTTATTTTGATTTAACGGTTTGTTTAAATATTTGAAAAAGCACTGGTCACAATACAGAGTTAAACTTTCAGTTAGACATATCACTTATTGATGCTTAATAACCAGATTTGGGTTTGGTGGTTGTTTTTTTGGATACAAAGTCCTGACTGATGTGGTTGATTGTGAATGACCACCTGATTTGTATACTATGAAGTTTGATGTATGGGAGCAAATACTTTATATAATTGGGAAGGTTATGTTAATTCAGAATGTATTCAGTCAAATGCATTGCTTGGAATTGTTTCCCTTCTGCCTTACTCTTTGTTAGGGACTAAATGCACCGAGTAGTACGGTCCACATCATTTTCAGAGGATGAGCACAGTATTAACTGTCTTCATTCAATGCTAGTAAGATGTTACTTTAACTCTTTATTTAAGGTGCTAAAATCCAAGTGTTTTGGATAAAAGGTCCTACTTGAACCATAATGGTTGACCTTGTGGAATACTTCAGTATCAAAAGTACGAAATTGTGTTTGTTCTAAAATAAAAGATATCACTAAACTTATTGTTTCACGGAGTAGTATAACGTTTTAAATAACTCTGCGTTGGGTTAGGTATTCCAGGGGCAGACTAGCTCATTTTTGCTTTCTGTATGTAAGGACTAAATGATGCTGATGAAGGTTCTGGGTGACCCGTTTTATTTAATTTTAATTATAGTTGTGTGAATTTAGGATTAAAGAAACCTTTCCAGCTGCACTTCATTAAACAGGTCTGTGCCTGTTTGAATGGAAAAATTAAAATCATGTGTTTCTTCAGGATTAACTCTTACTTTTTATGTTCTGCTATTAATCCAGATGTGTAGCAGAGTTGAGAAGAGTCTCAGTAGACATTTGGGTAGGAGAGGTGTGCAGTCCATTTCTTGTTCATAACTAATTTATGATTTAGTCACATATTATGGGTTTGCACCACCCTTTTTAAACAGTATTGCGTCTCATTTCAAGAGAAGAACCAAGGTGAGATAAAACTATAAAAATGAAATATTAATATTTTTTTTTTTTTAACAACTTGATCTATAGTATAGAGATGACAACTCAGATTTTGATCAGAAACACTGAAAATGCAGGTTTTGTAGTTCTCATGTTATGAAACATAAACATGTTTGGGGTTTTTTTGTTTTTGACAAATTGGGTTTGCGAATGTTTGAGAAACAATTACTGCACTATAGCTATAGCCCAGCTTTTGAGAATAGATACTTTAGTGATTTATAAATCTACATTTACAGTGGGTTGGGTTTTCCCTTTGTAGTTAAAAGGAGCTTTGTCAAAATTCAACCAGGCACTTGACCAGGTTTTTTTGTTTGGTTGTTTCTGGGTCACTAAGTTGCCTATGCCAAATGCAGGTACATCTTGTGCCACATAGCTTATTAAAATTTCAAAGTGTTTGGGTTTGTTTGTTTTGTTTGTTTGTTTTTTGGTTTTAGGTTTTTAATAGGTATAATAACTTGGCAGTTGCTTTTTGATATAAAATACAAAATGCTGCCTTCAAGTAGCTTTTTTTGTCTTCCATTTTTCTTCTCCCTTTTTCATGCTTTACACTCAACAAATACTGCAATACACTGTTAAGTATAATGTGGCACTGTGGCAGGAACTGCTTTACCAGCCAGTCTTTCTCTGGTATCAGAGTTCATTACTCCAAAACCACTTAGATTGCCTTTTAAAACTGGCAAAGTCTTTGAGACCCTTGCACTTGTCCTGGTACAGTGTTACATAAGCAAATGTTATTTGGTAATGATTTAAGAAGCCCAAACACTATCACGCACATAAATATATGTATATATAAAAACAAATATTTTCAAAAAGTTACTTAAGGTCACCAACATTCTATAAGTACCTCAGAAGGTGGATTCTTCATTGGAGTCTTATCAGGCTTTCAATAACATATTTTTTTGGCTCTACATACAGGGCATTCAGATACCTCCTTTAGAACTAATTTCAACAGGTAGGGTGGTAATTGTAGCTCTTACTATTTCCTTTTTATTTCAGTTCTGTGCAGAGGTACATGGAAAACCACCTGTTTTCATGACAGCTAAACATCTGCTGCCTTTCTCCCCCCAGCTTATTGGTTTGTCTGTTTAGTGCCATAACTAACTTTTCTAAGTTACTGCTATATTTTTAACACAGCTGTCCTTCTCAGAAAAACACCCAACAGTTTGTCAGTGATACTACACAAGATGCAGTTGCACTTTGTGAAGAATTTCCAATGGACAATCACCTTTTTATGTAATAAATACTGGAGAAAATATTCTGGCTTTTCTTGTTGTTGTTGGGGGGGAGATTTGTGGTGTTTTGTGGTGGCTTTTTTTAAGATAAGGCACACAGTATATATTAGCATTATCTGTTTTACTAAAAAAAAAAAATCAATTTACATTCTGACCTTCAAGAGTACAGGTGCATCCGCTGTTTTTGAGAGTTTAACTTCATCAGCAAGTAGGGAATTTGACATTTACATTGCCAGGACCAGGGCCCAGAAGACCCAGGAGAAATACAGGGTGCAGTGAGTGAATGAATGCTGGCAACTGAATTTATAACAAATTGTAGAATCATTTAGGTTAGTTAAGATCTTTAAGATCAAGTCCACCAACTACTAGATCCTATTAGGAGATGTAAGCAGTGTCTGTAACCATTTAAAAAGGACAGGACTTGCAAGTGCTGTTTTTACAACATTGCTAAGATTTATCTGTGATGGTGCAGTGATGTTCCCTGCAATGCCCTGCCTGTTGCCAGCCTTTTCTCTGTCTCCTGCACCTCCTGTCTCTTTATACACATCACTTGCCAGCAGGGAAGTTTATGATTCCCACTTCCCTTTCAGCTTCTCATAGTTTGCCTTTAGCTTTGTTACTGTACTTCTTATTACAGAGTGATCTCCTAATTTCTAAAATTCTATCTTTAAGCTTGTTACGACACTTGGGACAGGATTTCTGATCTTTTTAGAGTGGTCAAAGCATTTCTCTGAACAATCAGGCCAATCTTGACTTCCAGGAGACTCTATATTCCTGTCACTGTTCCTGAACTCTTTCAATTTTCTCCTGAAAAGGAAATCATAAATTAATACACCATTTTGTTAAGATACAGAACAACCTACTTTTGTTTGATACTTGGCTTCTGTTCTCGAGGGGTTTATGGTAAGGCTTGGAGATTATTTTCAGTCTTTATCTGTGGCTCATTTCCTTTTCTAATCAAGGAGTAGTACCATTTGCTTCTTCCAGAGGTTGTTTTTTTTTTTTTAATTGCACTAGACATTTATAGAAATTCAAAGAACCTGTGCCTGAATACCTGGAGGCCCCGTTTTTAAAATGCCTATTTCATTGGTACTCTCATGTTTCTCATTACTAAGATTATTGACATTCTACTAGGTCTGCTGATACACTTGTATGTCGTAATTCTTACTCTGGGATAAAATGAACTATTTTTGCAAATCAGTATTTTCTATCTTTCATACTGTGACATTTTAACAGGAAAAAAACCCCACTGAATTCAGGTAAAATATCAAATTGCCAGGAAGGCTAGAGCTGCTTGCATTCAAGGAGGAAAAACACTCCACTTGGATTTTTGGACGATGGTATCTTTTCTCCTCCAGTAGAGAAGTCGAGTGGTGTAAAGGGTCAGAGCTCTGTGCAGTGCAGGTTTTGATTAACATTTAAAAAGCTGATGTAGCATTGCAATCAAGCATGACACAGTGTGCCAGTCTTTAGCCAAGGACAGCTGGTAAATGCTTTGCTTCTTTCCCATGTCATGTGTTTTCACTGTCGACACTGGTGTTGCCTGAGTTATCAGTGGCATTACATCATTGTTTCTGTAATATGAAAGCCAGATTTGTTGACCAGCATTCAGATTAACAGTAATTATTGTAATTATGATTTTTTTAAAAAATGTGTCTATATATATTATTCTATTATTATTATTACGTAGGTATTGGTATTTTGGGAGGAAGAAATGGGACAGTTAAAGGAGCTCTGGAAGAGCAGCAGAGAGGTGATGTACCAGAGTTCTCAATATTCAGGTGGCTCAGTGCCTGCTCGGGCTGTGACAGTAATCCTATTGTAACATCCTTGGCCTGGACATGGAATAAAATGGGGAAGGAATGTGTTGATTTCTGACACTTCTCAGAAACTTTTTTCTTTCTTAGCCCACAATTACAGTGTCTCTGCTCTGTTTCAGCTGAACAGAAGAGACACTCATTTTTTACAGAATAGGGACTAAAATGATCCAATTCATGAGATTTATAACCAAAACCTCTTTTTTTTTCCCTTAAGTAATTTAGTGGTACTTCCAAAAAAAACTATGGGTGCATCTTTACTGCCTATAGCATCTGCTGCTTTTAAAGGTAATTATTAGTGTGTCTGAACAAAGGCTGGACTTCTGCATTGGTGCCATGCTCACTAATTCTGTGGGAAGCACTGACCAGAGCACTGAGCACTCATTAAATCATTAATATTTAAATCAGTTTAGGTGCCTTCATTGTCAGCAGAGTTACATGTCGACAGAGCTCTGTGTTTGCTGAAAAGAACAAGGCCCTGGAATTTGCTTGCAAGGGGCAAGGATTGAACAGCACCATGAAGTGACCTGGATCTTGCTGAAAGTTATGTAAAGTTTTCTTTGTGATGAGGAAGACTGAATTATACAGGAACAATTGTATTGCAAGGGTATATTGAAAAAAAAAATAGTGTGGTTGAGCACATGATGAGTCAATGAAGAAATAAAGGTTTAGTATGTGTATTTATGTGATAATTAATTACTTACTGTTTCCCAGATCCATGCCCACAGGCCATCCTGTATATTTGGTTGGGTTTTGGTTTTTTTAACTTGTCCTCAGTGCAACTTTACTTCATTCATCTTCTTTTGCCAAAAATAAAAATAGTCAGTTTTCATCCCCTCATCTAAACTGATATTTCATAAGTATCCAAAATAGTGCATGTCTTAAATTACACAGTACTTTTGTATGAGTATTTTATTGTTCATCCTGTCAACTGTAACCACAGCCACACCCTGTGGTTGAATTTCAGGTGCTGTAAAACATGTTAATAACTGTGTGGACTTTAAATAATTGCAGTTATAACAGGATAGAGTTGCCAGAGAGATTAATGGAAGCCCAAACATGCAAGTGCTTTGGCATTTAAGGCAGCAGTTGGGCAGGAGATTTTGAAAAACCCAACTTTCTTTGCATTGATGTGGGTGCCAGGTGGTTTGTTGTGAACTAATAAGCTGTGTAACTTAACAACTTATCACTGATCCTCCCAACCCCTGTTCCCACATAGCATCACCATTTAAGCCATATTGCTGAGTTCTCAGATAACCCCAGAGAGGCCTGAAATATATTTCAGCTACATTGTTATTTCCAGTAGTAGTGATAAGCCAGGACAGTTTCGCTTTCTGGGATGAGGAAATTAACTTTAGATTTGTCACAGAGCAGACCACGCTCAAGAGACATCCAAATGCTGTAGAGGTACCAGTTGAATACTAGAGCTGGACTACGGAAAAGCAGAAATAAAAGTCAAATCGGCTGCACTTATTTCCTGGGATGTTGCTATCAACTGACAGACCCTTGGGTTTCAGGTGAGGTATCTGTGCTTTAAGAAACATTGTCCTGTACTACTCATTCAACACTAACAATAGGAGAGGAGGTGAGGTTATGGTGCTACTGGGAATTTCATTTGATCTCACACCCTTTGGCAAAGGAGGAGAAATAGTTATTTTTAAGTGGCTTCCTCCAGAGCAATTTCCTTTTGAGTCCTGTCACTGCTCCCTTATCAAAGGCCCCTTTCCATGTGCTAGTGCCTTTCCTGACTGTTGAGATACTCCATCTGAGACTTACACTCAGAAACTGGAAATCATTGTGTTTGCAGAAGTGATGGAGGTCTCCCTTGGGTTTTGTTTTTAAGGTTATACAGTGAGTGTATGTCTTAGGTTCATCTCCATGGCCTAGGGATGATCACAGGGAGGAGCTTCTGGAGGTGTGTTTTGTGAAGAAGCCACGCAAGAGGAAGAAAGGGTGTAGCTGCAGTAGTGGTTTTTACACATCCCTCCCTCATCCTTTGGTCAGAAAGAAAGTGAGGTGATGGAACAGCCTCTGGGACAGCTGCTGGGATGTCCTTTGGGGTGGAAAAAGCCTGGACACATCACAGTGGCTTCAGCTTCTGGTGGGGGTGATGCACTGGCTGGTCTGAAGGTCTGCAGGGGTTGCGTAAAAAGGGCTTTGGGGACATGGTAAAATGTTTCTTATGGTCCAGCAGATTTGGAAGAATCAAAGCTCTGTGAAGCAGCGGAAGGAGCATCCCTACACCCTGTAGCTGCCAGCAGAAGCTCTGAGAGCTCAGTTAGCCGCTTGTTGGCCAGAAGAAACTGACAAGGAGTGTGACGCTCAGCTGGGATATCACTGTCGTGTGGGATAGGGAGGCGCTGGGAGAGCCGGGAATGGAGCCACACCGGGCACGGCGGGAGCGGGAGCTGCGCCCAGCGCGGCCACGAGAGGCCGCCCGTGGACAGGGAACGGCTGCGCCGGCAATTGCGAATAAATAATACATTATAAATATAATATAAGTTATTCAAATTGGACACAAGTCGGCAGGGTGCATTCCCAGTTTCCTGACCTGTCATCTCCTCTAATGCACTAGCTACTATTTTGATACTGGGTTAAAAAAATATATGTGTTTGGATGTTAGAAGTGCTGATTGCTCCATAAAAAAAAGTTCCCATTCCTGTTTTGGACCTACAAAAGGTTTTATAGTGGAGCTTACCCAGCTGACACCATCTCAGGGTGAAAATTTTACAAGCAAGGTCTTGATGTGACAGTGAGATTCTCATAAGCCTTAATAGCTGCCCACTAAAAAAAAATTACACACTTTTTATATATTATGCCCATATATATATTCACTCCATGTCCACCCTATTTGATGAAAAAATAAGTTTTGTGAACAAGGGAATAAGATTTTTGTTTTAATCTCCTAATAGATTAAAACAAATTAAAAAAACCTACCCCAAACACAGGCCTTTCCAGTAGCTGCCCACTATAATATCCCCCTTCCTATTTCCATTTCCTTCCCTTTCCATCTTCCTCTCTCAGATCTTCCAAGTGCAACCGGGCAGGCAGTGAAATGCGCTGAGGTCTCTGCAGACCAGCCAGCAATAGCACATAGGGCATTGTTTGGCCCCCTGGGTTTTGTCTTTTGAAATAAGTAGGGAGACAAAAATAAAATAAGAAATTTGCACTCGATATTTATTTTGATAAACAATTGTGTACTCCAAACAACTACATGTTATTTCATTTGTAAGCCACAGTCTGTTGGAACCAATGTCCCAAGAGCTCTTGTCATCATAAACCCGACAGTCAATGCATTACCACGGTCTGCGGACACAGAGAGCTTCCAAGTGCAAAGCAGATTATCAGAAAAGACATATTGCTGACCTCCTTAACAACCTGGACAATGCTCAACTCCAGTAAAAATGCTTCATATGTCTGCAATTCAGTTGTCTTAGTGCCATTGTAATAAATTAATAGAAAATATATCTTTTTTCATTGGAAAGTCTATAAGAAAATGTACAAACATCTAACTCCGAAAAAGGACCAGCTGTTTCGGCGACACGTAACACAAGCATTCCAACAGAGGCAAAAAAACCCCAAACATCCAAACAAACAAAGAGACAAACAAACAAAATGCAATCAAAACCCCCTCACTCTACCAATGGCAACTGCGTAGGCAAACATGGAAACATCTGCAGTAATAAAACATTAAAAGAGGGTCACTGCAGTTTGTGCAGGGACTGTACAGGATGAAAAAGGAACAAGCAGTCAGGTAATTCACTAGTCAGAATGTGCACGTGCAGTTTCTAGAACAGTCAAAAGATTAAACAGTAATCGTATGGCACAAAGCTCTTGCTGACTGGTGATGGTATCAGGCTTCATTCTGTCTTCAGAGCAACACACTGACTCCACCCATGAAGGTCAACGGGAGCCCTTTGCATTTCACTGGCATGGCTGTCCCGGTACACGGCCACAATGCTCTGCTATCCCTCAGGATTACAGACTGCAGTGATTCCCTACTCCGTATTCACAGCGTGAGACCCACCCGAGCTCCAAAACAGGCCCCATGTGACAAGCTCTGCATGATAGAACAAGCTACTTAAAAGTTTTCTTCTCTTAATAAGAGGAGATTTTTCGAAAAGAAAAAAAAGGTTTTTTTTTCTAGAGCCAAGTCTTATGATTTCACCCTGAGAATTCCCAAAACAGTAAAATCAGAAGCTACACTTCAGCATAAAGGCGGCTGCTCATAGAAGCTGAACAAACCTGTCAGGGGATAGACCCACCTGGTGTGATCCTCCCTCCTGGCCATGCATACACTTACAGGGAGCAGGAGGGGGGAAATGGTTGTGGCCAGTGAAGCACCACAGAGGGCAGTCCCTGCCCTGGGGGTCGTACAAAGCCAGATCCTACTCCAGGCACATTCCAAGCCCGTTTTTCCTGCCCACCATCTGTTAAGTGCTCATGGAAGAAATACTCCTGCTTTGGTCCATCTCTTGAAAGCAAGTATGTTCCACCAACACTGGTGCAATGGCATCAATGCCATTGGCCCAGGGCACTGAAGACGTTTGGATAACCCAGACTGATGGACTCAAGGGAATTCTTGTTAGTCTGTTCCCTTGACTTCATGGATATAGTTCCGTTTTGGCCATCTGAGAACATCAAATAAACAATGTCTGGATGATCATGGTTGAACCACCAGTGAGACTGACTCTTTCGTGGAATAGTCTGTTAAATTCCCAAACCATCATAAGAATTTGGGGAAAAAAACCGACCCACCTTACTTGCCTTTTGCAAGTGTTGGCCATTCATTCTGGAAACAGCACAAATGCCTGAAGAACATTCGTTAAAAGACTCTTGTTGAGAAGCAGGGAGGGAACACTTGGCTCTTCCTTTTTCTTTTTTTTTTTTTTTTTTTCAAATACAATACACATGACATTCCATGAATGTGAAACAATTATATAATAAGACTGAAAAGAACATTTCCAGTTTCAAAACCCAGGAGAGGCTTGACAGGAATGTAACTTACAGGACTACCTAAATTTTGTTCACGGTTGCTTTGACTTTCAGAGTGACTGATCTAAATCAGGCTTATAGGGTACTGCACCTGCCCAGCCTTTGGAATGACACACAAAATCCTTGCTTTTCAGTCTAGCTGCAAGGTAGCATTTTGGATACTGTGGGGGAAAAGCAATTTAATTACGTAAACTTTACTTAAGACAGAGCAAAATGAAGTAGCCATCAGCAACTAAAATAATTTATGTGGCAATGGGGACAGGCAAAATGGGAAAACAAACCCAAGTATTATTGGCAAAAATTTTCATTTCGTGTGCTTTGAAAAGCTCATCATCCTGTCTTTTACACTTCCACCCTGCCCTCAGATTTCTCAGAACAGCCACAGCCTCCAGTGACGCCTTCATGGCATTTCTGAGCAACACACAGAAATATTATTAAACACTAGAAGTGCTTTCAGTGTTTTACAAGGTAGTGTTTACTTTCCCACTTCAAGAGATGCCCCTGTAGAGTCCTGATTCACACTAATCTGCCTTCACTATGCAGAAATTGTTTGAAGAAGGGGGCCGGGAGGTACGAGACATCCAATTAGTGCATGGGGATTCCCACTTTAATTCCTCAGCTACCTGGTTAAGACCTCTGTCACCTTTCATGCAGGTCTCATGTAACTCTTCCAGGAGGACTAAGGCAATAGTATCCTTAAGACTGAGCACAGGATCAGAAAGCAACACACAGCAGAGCAATCTGATCCTGTTCCCTCTGATGTCCTGGGAAAGGTGAGGACATTGCTTGATGCCGAATAAGGTAAGTCTCAGTATTCCTAGCTAAAAACTGGAAGCCCTGAACGGGATGGCTTTAGCTGGCAACAATAAACCCTCCAGACTGATCCTGAACATTATTATACAGAGGGGAAAGGTTGTACGGGAAAGGCTAATTGACATTGCTCTCCTTCTAGCAGAAATATGTGGTTTCATCAGTCTCCACTGGCATGTTTTGTCTGCTCCTTTTCTCATCTCTTCCCCAACTATGTGCCTTGGGTTGCATGTACAAAACACAACCCAAAGAGCTTGATCAAACCTCACAGAAGCTTCAGGATAAATGCCTACTGACCAGTCACATTTCCCAGCATCTAGGTAATCATTCAGATATACACTCTTTCTGCCTTAGATTGCCAACCAGCCTTTGAACTGCCATTCCACGTGTATGTGAGCAGCTGGTTGCACTACAGAAAATAAAAAGTGTTCGGACAACTGAGAGGCTGGTAAAAGCAACAATCCTCGATGGCCTTTAGACCTAGAACTCTCCCTGGGAGAGGCAGCACGTAAGTTAGTCTGTCACAGGGGTGCTGATCAAACCAGCACCTGGTAGAAACAGGTCAAACCTTGCTTAGTAACACGAGAGTCGACGCGGTATCGGTGGGTGAGCCCAGCCGGGCAGGGCCTGGCCATCACAGGACACACGCTGGTCACAGAGGAAGGCTTTTCTGTCACATGTGGCCACTCTAGCTACTTACAGTGAGATTTCTTTTTGAACAGCAACAACAACAACAAAATGCTACACCTGGTGTGCAGGCTGGCGAGGCGCCTGCGGTGAGCGGTCAGTAGTCCGTCCCATGGGGCAGTGCTGGCAGCCAGGAGGCACGGCAGGGTGTCCTCACAACTTCATTTTCTTCACCACAGGGATTGGCAGTGCTTGGTAGATTTTAGCTGAGTCCTCGTTAGTGACCAGCTTCACCCAGACAGGGCGGAAGCTGCCTTTGAAGCCGACAAAAGCCATTTTTTCTGCAAATCAGAGCAAATATATCAGAAGTGCATCAAGGCTGAGCCAGAAAACCACCTGTGTGCACGGCTGTGCCCCATGGCTGGATGGGTTCACAAGAGCACCCTCGTGCACACAAAATTTGGCAACACGCATACACCAGGTACTGAAAAAATATTTCCCTAATTTAGCTTAATTAAAATTTTATTTACATTTTGTATGCTTCCATTAAGTAACAGAGGAGAAAGTGAGAAGAAAAAAAAAAAACAACACCTCTGTAGCAGGCAGCTTGTCTGCTGAAGTTCTCATTATTTGCATGGTGTTTATATTCATGAAGTTCTCATTATTTGCATGGTGTTTATATTCAAACCCCTTTCCTGCTTGGGGAGGGCAGGGGAATGATCGTAGAATCCTAGAATTGTTTGGGTTGGAAGTGACCTTAAAGGTCATTTAGTTCAACTCTCCTGCCATGGGCAGGGACACCTTCCACTAGACCAGCTTGCTCCAAGTACCATCCAACCTGGCCTTGAACACTTCCAGGAATGGGGCATCCACAGCCTCTCTGGCAACCTGTGCCAGGATCTCACCACCCTCACAGGAAAGAATTTCAGGACAAGACCCACATTAGTGAGTACAACATACACACAACATCAGAGGAAACTATGCCAAAAGCTCACAGAGCTGATTGGAGCAATGTGCATACAGAGCAATATTCTACTGCAATACGTGATGCTCTGAAAACTATGCTTTGTGCCATAAAGCTGGAATTGTTTTAAGAGAAAACCAGCTAAAAATAAGTTCAGACAAGTAAAAGATCCTGGTTTCAGGCACTCAGTGTGGAAAAAGGTCCAATATTCCTATTGTTAAAATGTCTTTTAATTTGAACTTAATCTGGAAAAGCAGACCCCCTGAATTATTTACTTTTAAGAACAACTGCCAGAGTCCTTTTTCCACCTACAGTTTTAAGCTGAGTGCTGTTATCCAAAGCTGCAGTGGATACAACCTTGCAGAATAAATAAATTACTGGTCCCAGGATGTTTGAGCACATGCTGATAGAAACGAGCAAGGCAAAGTTGTGGAGAAAAGGTCCCTTTGCTGGAACCCTGGGAGGGAAATAGATCAAAAGGGGTTAGAACCGAGTTTTTAAAGAGAAGGTACCTTTTAACCTAACCCCCTCTTCTGCTCCAAGTTTCTCCAGTACTTTAGTCCACGGTCCTCTTGAAATGAATCTTCCTTTAGATGTCACCAGCACTATGGAGCTGAAGGGAACACAGACATGTATAAACTGATGAAGAGTCAGAACACACATTCTTTGCTTGTTTGCCCTGAGCACTGGTGACTCCTGCCTGTGTGACTCAGACACCCACAAAGTACAGTGGCTTCTGCTTTAATGGCTTTTATCAGTGCTTTCCAACAGTTTCGTCATATATTACTTTTCCAGTCAGGCAAAACCCATTAGAAAGCAGACAGAAGTCACTTTTTTTAAAAAGCCACACTGTTTTCTAGGATGGTTTCAATGTTTCCAACCTGTAGTTCAGTCCTGCTTTGCTCAGAAAGACATGTGCTCTCCCTGGGATGCTCTTAGTAAGTCTCAAGTAATTTCTTGTCCTTCCATTAGCAGATTAAACCAGAAGAAATTCACTTCTCTGAGACTTTTGTTGGCCTGATGCTTTTCCTTTCAGTGCACTTCTGCTTAAAAAGTGCATTATTATTATTATTATTATTACTATCGCTATCGACTTACTTGCATGTGCTCTATTTCACCTCAAAATTCTTCGGGTCCTCCACAAATGCCAAGTGATAAACAAAAGATATGAGGTAAGTGTGCTGAGCTAAAGCAAATCTGTAGTTGCTTGGGTAAAATTTGATAACTGGTTAGGCCTAATTCTAGATAGATAGAATAAAAACCCAAATTAAACATGAAGAAATATCATATAGTGGAGACTTTTCTGGGGAAAAGCACAGGACACTTGGTGAAGTTAAGCTCATTGTACCCTGTAAGACCCACAGACATCTCCAATGGTCATCTCAAAGATGACTGAGGAAGAGGTCTCTCCATCCAGCAAAGTTCCATGGAAGTTTTGCTATTACGTTCTGTGGGGCTGGGATGTTGTCTTTGTTCACCTCCTGATTAAAGCTGCATGACATGAATTGAACAAACACTTGCTTAGATGAAATTATTTCATTTCACCTTGCGGGGTTTCCATGAGTGAAACTTCCCTGACTCAAGTGGCATTTGCGGTCTTGCAGAATGAGAGCTGTGCTGGGTCTGTTTTATGGCATTATTGTGGACACAAGTCACTAAAATTAATTAGACAGCAGTTCCTGTGGAGCTCAAGCCCTGAGCTCCTGAGGGCAGCAGTTTTATCTTAACACCTCAGCTGGAATTGGAACTGTTCAGGGAAAATAGCAATGGGTGGTAGCAGAGGAGCACGAGAAGCAAGAGTTAAGAGTCATCAGGACTTTTTCTAGAATAAATGTGAGGTGTTAAAATGCTCCAGTGCTTACAAGGCTGGATTGAGCTCGCAGGCTGGTTTTGATGACTTTGCGAATGCTAAATCACCTCTTTTTTCTTCCTTCTATTCCCTAAAATCATTACTTTTTATTAAGCATTTCCTGCTACATAAGTTTAAAGTAAATGCACCAGATGTTTTGTTTTCTTATCCCTGGGAAATTCATCAGAAAAAAAAAAAAAAAAGGCAATTGGCCTGCAGAGAGTTGCTTAGATGAATGGAAGGGCTTATCCTGGCTAGGAACACCTCTTCTCACACCCCTAAATCCATGAATGTGGAAGTTGTTTTAGCAATCTCCTCGGGAGCATCTCCCTGTGCAGCCCCTGCCCTGCACCACAGCAGGGAGAGGTGACCAGGGGCTGCCCCTGCATCATTGCCTGCACAGTTCCCACAGCTCAATCTGAGCAACAAACACTGACATCCACCTGAGGCATGGGAGAGGTTCCATGGGCACAGCCTGTGCCTCACCAAATTGGGAAGGCCTGCAGGAGTTGGGCTGGGAAAACTTTTGTGAAAGGAAAATGATTTTGGGGTTCAATTCTTGCAAATGCATAGCTGAGTGAGACTTAGGAGATGCTGACCCCTCAACTTCTGGTCCTAATCCTAATTCTAAACCTAATCCTAATTCTATTCCAACACCAATCTGGTCTTGAGAAGACAATGAGGCTCATAAAGACTTAAATACCCCTAAAGTCTAATACAATTCAGTCTTCCAAAGTAAGAAAGAATCCAAGAGCTGGATGCAGCTGGATTGAGATTGGATTTTTTTGTAAAGCAGGATGATGGCCTGTCTGAAAAGAGAAAATTCTATTTTTTTTTATGAAAGAAAAGTGAGCAGCTAACATGCTTCTCTGAAGTAACTACTAGATGTGACTTTTGCAGCCTCCAGAATTAAGACAATGGAAACACATCTGATTCCACCTGCATGGCACTCTGCTGAAACTTCCCCCAAGTCTCTAGAGTAAGTGCCAGAACAGTATCTTGTCAATCTGCCCACAACTATTTCAGATGATTCCTCAACAAAGCACTCATATTTATATTAAGTGTTACATATCAGATTTCAAATCCAAGCAGATTTAATACAATGAAATCGAATTCACTTCCCAAGAGCACTCCACAAGCTAATATGGGAATAACCCCTTTGGTTAACAGGTTTCTGATGTTGTCCCAGTTCTCTTTCCAGCAGATGAAGCTGGTGTTCTCCAGGATGCAAGAACATGTGTTGGCTACTTACCACCTATTTGCAAAACTCTGCATTTCTGGCTGCTCATACTTAAAATATAAAAGCATCCAGCCCTTAGGCCTAGGCAGGTAAATTTGCAAAGAGGAATGTATTGTATTAGTGGATTTTCTGCTATTTGAGAGAACATGCAGGAAGCAGAAAAATGCAAACTGTGCACATGTGTACTGACCAGTGCTTTGTGAATTTAAGTCTGCAGTTTGTCTGTAACCCACAACATAAATGTAGCTCTGCAGTTTATTAATCACATGCAGCTCTGCAGTTTATCTGGGGCTCAATCAGTCCCTAAATCACAGAGTCTGCATCCTGCTGCTGCCTGCACACCCCACACGGAGTCATCAGGCACAAAAACACATTGCTGGCTGTCTGGCCCATGTTGGGTGATAAAATCCAGGAAAAAGATGAGTGTTATACACCATTATTGCACATTGCACCTTAGTGACGCCAGATTATTTACTCACTGATCTTTGATGTTGTTGACATAATTTTCTATCTGTGCTGGGATTCCTTGTAGAATGGAGTTTTTGAATGTTACTCGATCAACAACTTTTCCATGATGTCCATCAATCACAACCAGTTGGATACCCTCATCGGTGAGGAAAAACCTGACACCGTCAACCTGTGCAGGGGGAAAAGTACTCTTGATCTATTATGGTAACACAATTGCAAACAATTACCTGTAAGAAGCACTGACAGACCTGAGTCATGACAGACCTGAGACTGACGTTTCTATCAAAGGGCAGAATTCCAGGTCTCTGAGGTCAAGCTGCCCTGCATTTTTTTAGTAGTAGGGAAAGTTACAGCCTTTTTTCTTTGTTTTTTCAAAATATAAAGCAGAAGTGGCCTGAATCACATGGTGACTTTGTAAGCAAGTTTTCCATAAAGATGAAGCAAGTATCTTAAAAATTCATCTCATTAAATTCATTGAGAAGATTTGCTCACCTCAATGTATGCAAAGTCATCCCTTAGGTGGAAATACTGTTTCTTATAAGTTTCTATTTTCACTTCTGTTAGGTGGTCCTTGGTTTTCTGTACGAAAAAAAAAATTAAAAAAAAAAGACAAACAAGAAGAGAAAAGAGTTTTTCTAGTGAAAGTGCCCATTACCTGAATGCTGCATTTTCCAAAAACATTTTAAACCTTGAAATTCAATCAACAGGAAAGCTACATAATAAGCACTGACTTGCCAAATTACATTGCTGATGAAACTGGGCACAGTGGTAACCTGCCTGCCCATTCTGTCACCATTTAAATTGTTTCACCAAATGGCAGAGTGATTCTCACTTTACAGAACTGACAAATAATTCTTTGAGGCTTTGCTGTGCATTCCTGTTTCAAGGGCGATGAGTGAAAAAAACCAAATAACAGATAAATAACCCGCCTCCCTCCCCCAGAACCAGACTGGATACAGGAGACAGTGTTGTGCATTATATGAATGAGACACTCAGCTATGCAGTCCCCTCTCTGACACTGTTGTTCTTACAGCCTGGAGGAACTGAAGGCCAGGCAAGGAACCTGCTGTCTCTCCAGAGCCACATTCCATGGACTAACCTGTCTTCCAGCTCATCACTTTTCACCCTGTGCTTTTAAGCACAGCAGATCACGTCAGAGCCCCAAAAGACCAAGCATCCAACTTCAACCCAAGTCTTGTGTGGCTCTGTCCTTTGAGGACCTGTGCTCTCTGCATGTGCCAGAGTCTGTTTCCTATTATTTCATATGCCTGAACCATTTCAGAGAATCAGGCACAGGATATTCTGAACCTGGTACAAAGCTTTTCTATGTCTGTGGGCACAATATGTGTCAGAACTACAGACTGACATGAGCGATGATTCTGTGGTAAGAAATCAACTGCTTTACCAGTTGTGCACTGGAGAGCTTCTTCGGCATTGGCACCTCCACTACCGGTGTCTCGATGTACTTGGGATAGGCCATGGCTTCACAGTCACTGACACCAGCTGTCTCTGGGATCACAGCTTTGATCCTTATTCGTTCACAGCCCTTTACAGAGCAGAAAGCAAATTTCTCCTTCTCATTTTGAGCTTTGAGTTTCAGAAACAGCAGCCTGCAGGCAGGAGAAAAAAAGCAAACAGCATCCTTCAAATTCTTGTGAAAAAAAAACCAAACAACTCCCAGTTTTGATGGACTTCTTCTTGTGCTTTGCAATAATGTGCATTGAAACCCTTGACACTGTGTTTTATAGTACCCAACATACCACATGCAAATAAAAGGGGACACAAGTCTCAGAAACAGTTTAGGGAGCTCAGGTAACTTCAAACGGAGAATGAAGATGGCACCTAATCTCCCTTTGAACTCTATTCCATAATGATAGACATATGTAGGAATATATGCTTTGTAATTTAGGTCTTTCTTTCTTTCCTATTATTTTAATCCTTTAAAAGAAAATAACAGACTTTACACTCAGTTCCTGTGCACCCCTGTCACAGTGTTTACAAATAGTTCAAAACAAGGGTTGCATGTGTCTTCAGTCTGCACTTTATCTTTTGTTTTGTTTTGTTTTTCTAATTTGTATTCACTTGGCAAAGCATTTCCCAGAGTAACTTGCAGTGCAGCAGAGGCTGTGAATGACTGGCTGACATGGAAGCCCCAGGAAAATTAAACATTCTCAGAAAACCCTCCTGGTTTCGTTGTGACCCTCACTGGTGGCATCAGCCAAATGGCTCACGATTCCAGCAGCATTCCCAAAGCAGTGTCCAAATCAGCAAGGTCTACTTCCTTACCCAGTGTGCTCATCCCAGTAGTAGTATCCTTTGGTAGGGTATCTGTGCTCCAGTTTCTCCATTTGAGAGGTTCTGTAGAAGGTTCCAGTTTTGTATGTTTTCTTCAAGAGACGGTTGTGGATGTCTGAGAGAATGGAAAATGTCGTCCCTTTAGGATAGCAAAACCCTACTTGGATCCAGTCGTTCCTAAAAATAGCAAAGACCCATGTTGTAACAAGTCAACTATTATTTTACTGGACGTGCTAGAAGCCAAACTAAATAATCCACCATGAAAAATGTAAGTTAATTTTTTCCCGGACAGTTAAAAGTTTCATGGTTTGGGATGAATCAATGCAACGTAAATTAGACATAACAACCATGGGTTAGTTAAGCAACGTAGGTCAGATCTGCTCCTGACTTCTACACCTGTGACTTCCACACACCAGGAATGAATTAGCTCTAAACTTCCAAAAACGAACCATGTTATCTCGTAGGGCTTCCCAGGGGAGGAAACAGGAATCTGAGATGTCTGATGAAAAGACGGTGAACTGAATGGACTTCCTGGAACAAGCATGTTCGTTCTGGAAGAGCTCATGAGGTGATGACCTCACCCATTAAAAATGTGCAGTTTACATTATTGGGCTGGAATGCTGGAATTTGGATCACTCACTTGTTGAAGTTGATGAGCCATATGGCCAGCTCTTCAGGGGCTGTCTTGTCCCAGTGGATGGTATAGCCTTTCCTCAGAGTTATAACTGGCTGATACTGCTGGTAATGAGTGCTTTTGCTTAAAGCCCCTTCCAAGTAGAGTGGGTGATTGTGGTAGTCATTTTTTATTATTTTCATTTTCAGATTGGCTGGCTTGTAGGCTTGGATGTATATCTAGGTGGAAAAAAAAATAAAAATTAAAAGGATTTAATGAACTACAGTAAAACATTAAAGGCCCAGGTACTCAATAGATGTGAGGTGGTGTGAGCCCTGTGACCGCGGAAGAGACCTGCATGCCTTTCACTTATGATCAATTTCTTAGGCTTCCTTTTCAACAAAACAGTTATCAGGGGGAAAAGAAAAAAAAAAAGGAAAAAAAAAGAAAAAGAAAAAGGAAAAAAAAAAAAAAGGCTCATTTCCTCATCCACGGAGTTCAAGGGCACGTGCCAGAGAAGGCTTCAGACAGATTGCAGCAAGGCTGAGGTGTTCCACAGTGTTAATGGCAGCACTCAGCAGCAGGGCAGTATCTAACTCAGACATCTGATTTCTGCTGAACAAGGATCCTTCTGTCTGGATTTCAGAAGCATGAAACCCAGCTCAGTGGTTAGAAATTGGCTGTAGTGGCATTACACTGAAAAAAAACAACAGTTGCAACACCCAAGACAAAACCAGGCACTCTCAGCAGAGGAAAGTGAGGACTCTCATGGCAGCAGCACTCAGAGCTCCTGTGGTGGGAAGAATGGTTTGGTGGTCACACACAGGATGAAAGAACATGAGAGCTGAAGTCTAATTTCAACTGCTCAGCACATTTCCCATAACACCGTGGGCAACACTTCCCTCCATAAATCAAGCAAAAATAACTAGCCAACAGCCCATGGATTTATGAATATTAATATTTTAATGCCCATGGAGCTCTCAGGAGACTTCAGGCAGAAGTTGTTGGAGCTGCCAGCAGCCAAGGCCAAAGTATTAGAAAATGTGCCACAGTATTCCTCATGTTCAAAACCACCTGTGCAGACATGCTGGTAAATACACACTGAGCACCCTGAAGAAAGGACATTTCTAAAGGTCAAGTCTTACAGCACCAAGAAATTTAAAATAAAATAGAATGATAATGATACTGCAAAGTAAGCAGCTTTACCTGTGCAAAGTGTCCACTGCAGATGGAACCTCTCCAGTCGGGCACGTCGATGCAGTCAGGGTGCTTGATTAACCAGTTATCTTCTTTGATCAGGTATGAGCCTGGATATTCTGACACAGAACCATCTACGTCATGAAAAACTGATGTTTTATCACCATCCATATCCAGATCATTGAACCAGGGGCCAGGTTCTCCAAAGAAGACTCTTGAGGTAATCTAACAAAACAGTGAAACACATTTACATCTCCAGAAAGAAATTCATCACTTAGAATACAAAGTAAAGGATGCCTAGGGTCACTACAATGCCTCAATTTACCCACTTTCTGACTTTATTTGGCATTGGAAAGTAGTTTGGACAAGAAGTAGCTTTGGGTTTGTGGGTCAACATCAGCTTGAAGAAATCTATATGCACTAACATGACCATTCTTTAAGTGGCCACAGATTTTGGCTGCTCAGCTTGTGACATTGTAGTCTTGACATTCAATGGTTCTGAGGCCCCATGACTCAGGTGAAGAATGCAGGTCCTCTGAGATCATCAACCTGTTGCTGATGTGGTAATAAAACTTATGTGGTAATAGAACTGTGCGCTTCTGAAACCAACAATCCAAAGATGGAAGCACCAAAATCATTTTCAGCTGAGCTGGTCTCATAAAAGGCAGGAACATCACTGCCATTTGGTGCAGCCACATTAGTGTTGGCTCTGCCTGCACACTCCCTCTTCGTTAAGCCTGAAGTCAGCATAGAGCTGGATCACACAGTTAAAAGGTGTGTTTGGTCTGTCAGGCACAGCAGACACACATTTCCCTGCTGACCATGGGGGAAAGGCTAAAACAACCTGAATTTTAGCCTCAGTGGTGGGAAATTTGTTTTACAATTCTGGAGGAAGGTTCAGGAGATGAGGCAATTTTACTACAGCCACTTCACTCATTGTTTGAAAATACAGTTATAAGGTTCCAAAGCCACATAAAGTCATACTGTTGCGGGGAATAGTCAGCAACCTCCCCTGGGAAATGGCTGCTGAGGCAACTTCTGACTGATATTTTTATCCAGCATAAATAAATATCATGTCACCAGTCTGCCCCATGCAATGTGAGAGCGTGACTGGCCAACACTTTTAGGGAAATTTTGCCTTTCCCATCACATTTGGCACTAGTCAGCACTTTTCCTGACCTCTGAGTGAGTCTGCTAATTTTTTGAAAATTAGGCAACCCAAATAATTTCAGTCCAACCACTTTATTTATTTATTTGTTTGCAATGTTTGGCAGTTGAATTTAACAGCTGCTAGAGGTGAACCTCAGCAAACCAGTTAGAACGTATTTGTGCAGGCCACTATAAAAATAACTCAAAAGCATAGACTCCAGGACAGGTTCAGACCAGCACCCAGAAGTTCATACTGTAATTCAAAGTTTGGCAAACCCTTTTTATCTGGGCTCTGCTCTCACTTATGTCTGCAGGACTGGAGTCCATGGAATTACCCTGCAGCAGCTCAGTTTCACTGGCTGTTCCCCAAAATCAGTATTTTCTGCTCCTAGGTCAGTTAGACTTTTCACAAAACAGACTTCCTTCTGTTGTTGCTTTAATATTATACTGCTGTGGAAAATAAAGGAGCAGATTCTTCTGCCTTTTTCAGTTTCTGAGACAAACAGAAATAGAAATTATTTTCACTTCAGTGTCACTAGTCTGGGCGGATTTTTGGAGCTGATGCCTGCTTCTGATTTGCTGCAAACCTGATAGAGAATTGGATTTTCTTGTTATTGTACCCATCCAATTTTCTTTCTCTAAGTTGCCGCCCTCATCGTTAAACTTCTGGCAAAGACAATCGGCAACCCCTCGACGATCTCATGTTTTCTCCTTTTTGCCTCCACAACCCCATTGCCCAAGCCAACGAGGCCTTTCTGAGAAGAACAACTCACAGGCACATCTTCGAAGTGGATGTCGGTGACGTTGTTGTTGGGGCAGCTCTGCCAGGCGTTGTTGAGCCGGAAGGCCAAGGCGCTCGTGTGCCGACCATCCAGGGCCGCGAACTTGCGGAACGTGCAGTTCTGGACGTTGATGGGTCCGTCGTAGAACTGAATCCCTCGAATGGGAAAATCCCTAAAATACATTTGGAGGAGGCAGAGAGACCTGGTCATGACACATTAGCGTAAAGATGAGCTGTATTCTAGACATGAACAGTCCCCCAGCACTTGTTTCTCAGCTGCTTTCGTTTTTTCACAGCCCACAGGATGACTCTCGAGTTCAATTTTGGAAGAGAAGGGATTTCCCTCCTTTTTAGGGACCTTTTTAGGTGTGTGAAGTCCTCTTATCCCTGCAAGTTCAGCTCAAGTTCCTTCGTGTTGAACAGATCATCTTTATTTAGTCTGCGCTCCTCCAGGGAATGAATTTATACCAATGCCAAAGCATTGACCTAAAGATGAATAAATTCGTGTTTGCCATCAGAAATGAGTTCTGCAGCAGTGAAACCTGAAACTCAGCAGAGCTATGCAGACTCCTTGGGCTGAGTAATGGCTGGGCTAAAAGAATTCCCACCACATCTTTCAAAGGAACTTGGAGAGGAACATTGTAAATCAACTGCAATTAAAAAAAAAAAGGATTTGAAAACAAGGATAGGTCCTACAATCTGCAGGGCTGAGAAGAGGTGAAGGGACAGATTAAAGAATCTTTAACAGCCTGTTCTGATATCATCTGCAAGGTAAAGAAGACATCATTTTTCACACAGATTAAGTGAATGAGTTGCTCAAGCTCTTTGAGAGGCTAAGATAAGATGTTTCAAATTTCGCTGGGGACAAATAAATTTGATCCCTTCCTCATACGAATGGTTTCCCCTAGAGAAGACTTGCCTGCTCCAGTGCATTTGTTCTGTCTCTCTGACTTTCTGCACATAAACACCCAAATGAGATATGCCCACATATATATGCATAAAGGATATTGGGAGAGTCATAGCAGATTGGGTTTTCATTATTGCTAGAGTTAACAGTAAGCCTTCTGTATTGCTACTGGCAGCGAAGTTGAGGCCTGTAACAGCTGAGCTGTTTGTTCATTGTGAGGCTACTGTTAGGATAACTATATTTGTAGGAATCACAGCAAAACAAGAGGCCACACACAAAGTTCGCTGCCCATCTCAAAACTATTTAACAAAGGCATCGAATTACTTTGCAGCAGCAACAGTAACAGCAGTGCTGAGGACATCCATGACCACATTTGGGCTCCTACGAGCCCTCCTGGCTGCTGCCCCAGGTGGAGACTCTCACATCGCTCAGCCACTGCTGACCACATGTACAGAAATGCCCTGCTAGCACTCAGTCGTGTTGCTGTCCTCTCAACTCCACTTCCAAAGGGGAGGGGGAAGGAAGAGGAGCTTGATGCTGTCTTGGCAGCCTGCAAGGATGTACCTGCCAGCAGCAGCTGCACAATGAGGACTCTGGGATCGGGAGACATGAAATCAAATCCTTTCTGTGCAGTGCTTATTAAACTGAACAGCACTGAAGAAACCACACTGGGCTGAAGTTTGTGCTGGGAGCAGGAACAGTGAGTGCTTTGATGTGGTGAGCTCAACTTACTGGCCAATGGGCAGGGTCCTTCCTCTGTGATCCAGACCTCCAGGTCCCCAGATCTCATTGTCCATTGTCTCAGTGCCCAGGTTTCCACTCTCACCAACAAACAGGCTGTTCTTGATCTCTTGCTTTGAGCCATCATCATGAGGGAAGGTCCCACCACTAAGAGGGAAGGGCTGGAGGTGAAAGGGCTGCTCACACCCAGCCCCACCCCCTGTGCCCCAGGCTGCCACACAGCCTGAGCCACACTTACCTCGCCAAGGTCAGCCCAATGCCATTGTCAGCAAACCTGCAAAGAGGACAGAGATGCTTCAGAAGAGATCAAGGTTTGCTTTGGTTTATCATCACTATAACAAGCAAACCACTGAGGTGGAGGACAGCAGGGATTAATTACTATACAGTGCTTAGGGGGAGCTTAGGTTTTTCCAGGCTTGTTCCCGTTCCAGTTTTGGAAGATATCTTTTGGCACATCTTGTAGTATATGCAGATCACATGAAGCAGCAGACATGCACCTGACTGCTCCAAGATGAGCTTCAGACAGTGATTACTAGGCATAGTTTACTTGTCTGATAAAGCTTTATCCCTTTGTCTAATGACCACACTCTTTTCTCTGTTAGATAAAAAAATAAAGCTTAACTTCCAATCCAACTAGCATTTATTATTTAGAAGTGCTTTGCCTTATGCACACCTCTGTGCTCCTCTGTCTTCATGTATCACTCACTGCTTCCATGACAGAGCTTTGCAAGGGGAACTGTGATAAAAAGAGAGAAGCTTGGCTTCTCCTTCATCAACAGGAAAACAGAGATCAGAGCTTCCTTATTAACAGTAAAACCAAAAACTAGAAATCTCTCTATTTTGCTGAAATTTCAAGCTTTTAGATAAGATAAATCACAGCTGCTGGTCCATTACTCCTTACTATAGAAAGGCCACAATGAATTGATAGAGTGAATCAGTCTTGATGGTGTCTTCACACCGGCCTGTCACAGATCTAGGCATTAACTCGAGAGCAGAGCCCAGCGCCGTACTGCCGTCTGTAGGTGGCAGCCCTTCCCATCCTATCCCCTCCTCGCTTTCCTGCGTGCCACATGGACGTTTGAGTTGTTAATGTGATACATAAGTCTTTCTGTGGCAATGGAAATGGAAATGACTGTGGATATAAAGACAATTACAGTTTGATGGCTGCTTCCTCCAATTCGCACACAGTCAGAGATTTGCTGCTGGAAGCTCACAAAGCACTTGGTCTTTTAGCACCCTCCATACGCTGCTTTTCCTCCATAAGCAATGTGAATGTCCCAGTGACCTGAGTGGGACCTGTGAGGACAACTCCTGCTGTCCATGGAGTGGGCTGGATACTCGTAGGTCATCAGAAACACAAACTGTATTGCTCAACATGACATTTCTGAGTGTTCTGCTACAGCCCCACTCTCTCCAAGATGACTGGTTGCTTTTGGGTCACTCAAAGGTAAGGCAGCTCTGGCCAAGAATTGGACACCAGATATCAGCTATTCCCACCACGGTTATCACAGTATGCCTCGCAAAGGGTTTTTTTTCCTTTTTCTCCTCTTTCTTCATTGAGATTGATATCAGGAGCCTGGCTCAGCAAAAGAAACTACAGCAGATCATCTGTTTTCAAGTGCAAAACAAATATCTGCTCTGACCAGTGCAGGAAATGGCCTTCAAAGAGCACAACAGACACTTGCCCAGTCTCTCTCTCCCTTGCTGCTCTGATGCCAGGTCTGCTTCGGCAGTACCTGCTGATTCAGCATAACAGTGAACCACATAAAACTGATCTGTGACCAGGCTGAGCCACGGAAGGTGGTGCATTTTACTGTTTTCTTTTCAAAGCACCTCATTTTTCATGTAACAAAAAAATAGGTCTTATTTTTAGTTATTTGCACCTGTGTGTCTGCGTGTGTGTATCGTGACCCTGTGTGAGTTCTGGTCAGCATCACACAGAGAAACAATCTAAGGGATCTTCAGCTCAGACAGAGCAGGTTTTGTTTGTATAAAACAATGTCTGTGGTTTAACATTAACTTAACATTTCATCTTTATTTCAATCTTGGCCATCTGAAAGGTGCAAAGCACTATAAATAGTCTGAACCACAGCTATGCTCGCCATAAACACCAGGCTGAACTCTTAAGAGTTGAAATAAGGCAAAACTCACTGGCAGTTGTCCAGCCACACATCTCCACCTCGCAGCCAGGCCCCGTGATCCTGATTCTTGTAGGCAATAAAGCGCTCGATTATCGCAGGTTCCCTGGGCTTCAAAGGATCAGCATCCTTGTGTGGGCTGTACCTGCAACCAGAAGGAGAGGAGAAAGGCTGGTGAGGGAAGGTAGTCCTGCTCGCTGCATGGCCCTGCTAAACATCTGGTTTGTGATAACTCAGGAACAGCTTTGGGACAACAGTCCATCCACGTAGCGTGCCTAGTCAAGCAGCGATGGCCAGACCCAGCTGCCAAGGGAAGGAAGGTCCAGGCAAGGCAGTTGTCAAGACCCACTCCAAGTTTCCTTTCACCTTTCCAGTGTTGTATTGCTGATATATTGCTGAAAGCACGGAAAGTTTATTATTGCTCCCAAAAGTCTGAGGTTGTTTTTTTTTTTTTTTAATCCTTTACTGTTATGCTTTAGCATATTCCTGTTATTTAGATAAATATCCTTTTGTTTTCCCTTTTGAGCATTCTTATCTCCTAACTTTGGCTATACTGTGGCCTTGAGTACCACTGCCAAGTTTTTCTTGCTGTGGAAAGGAATTAAAACATCTCAGAGAGGGGCTGAGAGCATGTCCTTCACTATTCCCACTACACAGGACACACGTACAAGATTTATTAACTCTGAAGGTCTCTGTATGATGAAATATTGGCCTGATGTAGCAAAAAAAGCAGACAGAAGTGGAAACTGCGGCGACACGTGCCCTCAGTTGCTCCCTGTCTGTCACCACTTGGGCAAACTGGGTCTGAACAAGGGTCTTCCTCTCTACAGTGATGCTGAGCCCAGCTGTCATTTATCCAGTCCTGAGGCACAGCTCTCCTTTTTACTGTTGAAGGAGCATCTTCCATCACACTACACAGCTTAGAAAACCTGACAGATGAGTATCCAACTCAGTGCCAACAATGGATGGTCCAGAGATTAAAATTCATTCCTCACCAATGGATAGCGAGGCCAAGCTGTCAAATTGCTAACAGATATTCAATAGCACTTTGCTTTGCTTAATAAGCCATCATATCAATCTAAAAGTGAGCATCAGGCTGATAGGATTCCAGTAAATGAATATTGCTTTGGCAGCTTCATCACTGTGAATTTGCTTTCAGGGAGAGATTTAGTATCAGCCCTTGTGAATTCTCCAGACACTGTTAAATACAGATATTTTGAGATGGATTCCAATTTCATTCACATCTGTGATAACCAGAGGAACACTACAGGGTACAGAATTTGACTCAGATATTTAATGTTGTAACTGAATGTAGAATAATCTCTCCAAATCTGTAACTGTCCAGCCTTGCTCACAGTTTGCTCCAGCCAGCCCAGCTATAATCACTTATTCAGTTGTTCAGTCTGGACACATGAAAAGTGGAAAAAGGAATAATCTGAGCTGTAGCCTATGCCAGTGGGTAATCCCCAAGCATAACCATGACTGTATTATGACTTGTTTGGCTTCCAGGGGTCATTCCTGCCCCTGTATGGCAAGGGAGAATTTGCCTTTTGTAATCACTTACTGTGCCTGTGGCAGCAGGCAGTGTCCCAAGGCACGTGTTCAGCTGTATGGGAAAGCAGCATCCCAAGAGCAGGCTGCTCTTCATAAGTTATTTTTTAGCAGCTCCTTTTACAATTGAATTAATTCTTTCAATTAACTGAGCATTAAAATAATGTAAATAACATTCACTTTTGAACATCTTTTAGCATCAGCTGCTAGCCAGGGCACTGGGGTGATGTGGATCACAGGATAACTGATATCTGAGCTCCTGGCTGGGCTCCCCCGGGGAGGGGGACTGATCCCACCCCTGCAGTGCTTGCCCAGTGCATGACGACAGTAGTCTGGGTAACCCACACCCCAGAGATGGAAAGGAGAAAAGGATAAAGTTGTCATTCTCCCCCTGCTGAGCAGAGGTTTTCAGCAGATTTCTCTTCCTTACATGGTTTCTTCTGTCAAGAAACCCAGTCGTGGGGGAATGCAGGTTGGGTGCAACGGGAGGTAATTGGTCTGTCAGGAAAGAAAACTATGAAACATGAGAATATTTAAGTCTTTTTACGTGTCTGGGGGTTGGTAACTAAGTTTAGAGCCAGACTCAACCTCTAATGAGATACAAGGGTGCAGGTGCAGTCCTTACATCAGCCTCCTCACTGGGGCCAGCTTTGCCTGGGAATTCTCAGAAGCAACCAGACCAAAGTGGGTCTGCTGATATGATACAGTCTACAGAGAATTTTCCAGTATTTCTAAATTACTCCATTACACCACACAGAGGCTGAGCACAGCAGCAGAGATGAAAGATCGCTCTGTGTATTTAATTGTGATTATTATTGCAGTGTCAGATTTGGAACTAGACTGAAATCTGAAATCAAAGTGTGAGCTCCCTGACATAAGCACTCTCTGTTCAAGCAGGTTTTAAAAGAATGAATAAAAACAATATCATTCCCAGGAAATACTTCAGTTTCTAACTCATAAGAAACTCTTGCAGCAAGTTCTGCCCAGTGGGACTGTTGACCAGGCAGCAGTGCATTTCCTTGCTTATCTAAAAAATCAAAAAGTCAATGGAACACTCTAGAGCAGATGTAACATTCATGCTAGCTCAGCTCAGAGCTAAAGAGCACAGACAAAACCAGAAGGGTATGGGTGTTGGGGGTCTCTTATAAAGGAAAATGTAGAGATGCAGTTAGAAATGGCAAGGTGTGTCTAAATGAAGACCCTTCCTCAGTAAGAGCCACCCCAAAGGCATTGCAGTGATTCTTGTCAGCTTCCTTGGGGGCAGTTTCATAGCTTTCAGTCAGTGCTACAGAGAAGCCTTTTCCAAACCAAACTGTGCAAAACACTTTACCTCCCAGAAATCATTGTCAGGATAGGTCTTTTGTCCTTGGCAGAGGCTGGAGTGGTTTTAACGCCATTATCAATGATCATTCCAGCCTAAAGAAAAATAGAAATGCAATATCACAGTATATTTATAAATATTAGTTCATTCCATCTCCAGACTTTACCTCCAATTGTTCTCCTAATAACAGCTTCTGTTAGTAGCGTGTGAAACAGAGGGCTGCCAGGACTACCCAGATTTGCATATAACCCCCAAAATTGCTGCAGACTTGTAGAACTGCACTTTTCTCATAAATGCCTGTATCCCCATACACACACAGCCTCTGCTGCAGTCTAAAGCCCTCAGGAACACATAGCCCCACAGCCCAGCACGCTAAGGCAATTAGACACAGCGGTCGTATTTATCCCTCTAGAAGCTGTTCAGTTAATTGCTAACATTGGCAGTTGAGGTGTATAATTAGACAAGCTGCCAATAGATGCTCCTGGAGGCACTATTTTAAGAGTGCAGGGGCAGTGAAGCAGCCTGAGCAGAGGGGAGAGCTGCTCTGGATGCTCAAGAGCCAAGTGGGAGCTGGTGCTGGCCAACTCCGAATGCTCCCACGACAGCCCGTGAGCTGCTTTATCTGCAGACGCAAACAAGCTTGCAGGAACTTTTAGTGAAACAGAAAGCACAGGCACTAATAGCTTGCAGACCCAAAGAGCTGGAGCGAGGAGATGGTGTTTTTTCCGAGGGCAGCGTTCCCGTTGCGTGCAGACTCACCCGGTAGTTGGAATGCGCACGGTTGTTGGAGAATTTCCCCATCGGCACATGTTCTGAGTAGCCAGGGGAGTACATGCCTGCTGAGGGCCCTGTTGGCACGTGGTGCAGAACAAACCAAAAGCCTGTTTCCTGAGAAAGAGAATGGACATCTGAGACTGTGCTGGTCCACATTAGTCCAAGCAGATCTCAGTAAAGCCCAAGGCGTACTCCAGATTTCAGGACAAATCACGGCCCTGAACTGTGTTAACTCTCTGCAGCAAAGAGTTTAATGCACACAAACACTGACATTCCCCCTCCCACATCTTCAGGGTGCCTGAACTTAATCTTTGACATTGATATTGAAGCTATAAGTGAGACTTTTGAAACTTAAAAATCAAATAATTATTTAGTTGCCTAATAATATTCAAGGAGCCCTAATCTAGGTACTCAGGTTTGGAAGCTTTGGAGAGACCACATCTCTCTGTATAAGGATTGGTTTGCTCGTTTATTTGTCTTCATAGGACAGTAAGGAATTCCTGTGGAATTAGCACTAGGGCTGATTGAAACTGCTGAGCACTATAACTGTGCTGCAATCAACGGAATCATTGCCAAAGGCTTCTCTGTAACTCTGCAGTCACATTTATTTAATTTATTCAAGCTGCACACTGGGAATTTTTGTTCAAGCCACCCAGCTCTACAAACAGCAAGTGACAAGAAGTGTGGAGCAAAAGGAAAAACATTATTTTTATTGGTAGAACCAACCACATTACTTTATGTCTCAGTCAAGCAGTTTTAAAAATGTCTGTGTTACAGAAGTAGGTTTTATTCCAGCAAGAGCCTCCCTCAGCCTTGCAAGGCTTTAACTGGCCTGAGCTATTACCAAATAAGAAACTTGTGCACTCACCTCAGATCCAGCAGCCGCACAGTTTATAAGGTTGTTGTGTGGGTTTGCTATCCAGAAGGTGGATACAGCACTGCAGGTCAGGAAAACAAAGAAAGACATGAGAATGACACTTTGAGCACAAACCAGAGTCACCCATCAACTCCCCCCCCCGTACAGGCAGGGCCAATACCTCCCCAGATAAGGGGTCCTGCCCAGGGGGCAAAAGGAATGTTTTTTCTTTCTCTTCTCATACCTTGTGTCCTCTGTGGTTTGACAGAGAGCATGGCCTTATCTCTTAAAACACCAAGTATTAAATGAGGAATTTTGACTGCAATTCCAAGCCTGCTATGAAGCTGTCAGATGTCAATCATGTTTTATGATAAAGTAAATATGTTGTTACACAAGTCACAGAAAAGAACTTTGCCCCCAAGTAAACTCTCAGGTTCATTAGAGGCTCATTTAATCAAGGGACCCAATGAACTGCCTCTTAAGGGCTTTCCAAGTGTACCCCAGTACCTGCCTTTGCCAAGAGCTGCTGTGATTCATTAACTTTATTTGCTCCCACCCTCCTGAACATTTCTTTTGGAACAAAAGGACTTAATTTGTCTAATGCACATGAAAGACTCTTAATTGAAAGAGTCCCATTAAGGAGGAAAGACCAATCCATCACTGTCCATCCTGTGACATACAGCATTCATTAACCAACAGTCATGGAAAACACCCAGCACTTACAGCCAGCAGACTGGCCCCCTAAATTGGATGGGTGAGATTCACCGTCCTGCAGGGGATAAACCCAGGAAACCCTTATGTCTATTTTAATCTTGTCATGAGGGAGTTCACAGGGGCTTCAGGCCAACCGATTCTGCTGATGGAGTTCTGTTTGTGCGACTTTTATCATCAAAACACAGCAAAATTTTTCTATTTTGGGCCTGTGACTGGCCTAGAAAAAAACCAAGTTTGGATTATTTATAGATTACCTCCTGCTGCGCAGGCAAGGGCAAGGGCAAGGACAGAGTATTTTCACTGTGACCTGTCTTTCAGCCCATTCCTGTTCCTCAGGGCCATATGGATTGGGCAGGTTTCTGTGTCATTTGGCATCCTAGTGTCTTAATTCCTGGAAGTGGCTGCCTCCCTGTGTCTTCCAAGCCGATGGAGCCACAGCCAGTGCTCATCCCCCATTTCTGTGCTGGGTGCCTTGGCCATTGCCCCAGGGATAGTGTTAGTGCACTTGTGCACTTGCAAGCTGGATTAACTCCATGCAAAACAAGCTGCTTTTTTGGTCAGATCTTGAATTCTTTTATAAAGGAAGACATGGCAGATCAAAGTACCATAATACCTTTCCACTAGAATGCCCATATTCATATAACAGTTTTCAAATGGCACAAAATAGATCCCTCTGACTATTAAAAGAATTGTCAGTGGAAAATGAGCACAATGGCTGATTAACCCTATTTTATGAATGGAGACATTAAGTGTATTTTATAAACAAACACAGATGTGAAAAAGAGCATTACATGAATTCATCTCTTTCCCTTGCCAAACTAAAAAGTTAAAAATATGTTTGTTTGGACAAAACCCCAGTTTGTTCAGAGGACAGAATGGATGATGCTGATACAGCCTCAGCAGACTGAGAGTATTTCCAAGTAAAAGAAATCCCCTGAAGAATTTTAGCTGTTAGGCATCAATCAGCTTCTAGCTGTCTCATTTTCAGGAGGGAAGTCTGGCTTCCCAGACTTTCCCATTGACTGTTGAAGGGTCAAAAACTTAGGGGTTTTGTTAGTGTAGATCCCTTCCCCCCCTCCCTGCCCCCAACTACAGCAGAATAAATTTCTGGATAAAAATCTGGACTACAGGCAGAAGTGGTTCTGTCTCCCAGCAGCTTCAACACAGCACCAACGCTCTGTGGTCTCAAGACAAATCTTCATGGTGAAAGGCCTCCCATGTTGTTGCACAGGAGCCTTGTCCACAAGATGATCCACCACCAATTCTAAACTCTTTACAGGCAACTTTGATGTCCAGCTTCTAGTGGAAAACACTCTGAAAACAATGTGGTTTCCACAGATCTGCTCCAGATCTCTTGCTGTGCTCCCTGGACTCCAGCTGGGGATCTGATTGCCTAGCTGCTAAACACACAGGTTTGACTTTCAGTCTAGTACTCTCTTAAGAAGAGTCTGGGGCACAGGGGAAGAAAAAGAAACCTAATTAGCTCCCTGATATGCATCAAAATCAGCAGGTTCCCTAAACTGCCAGTAATTGGCAATGAAATCATATTCCCAGATCGACCTTGATTTTGGGGCAGAAAACCCACTCGAAAACCATGGAAAGAAAGGCTAGAGTAGCCTTCAGAGGCTCAGTGAATCCATTCCCTGCCTTTTGACAAGACCAACTACAACCACATTTGTATTTGTGATGGGCATTTTTCTAACTTCTGCTTTAAAATTACTGAAGATAATGAAGAATGCATGAATTCCCCCAAGAAAGAATTCTAATGCTTAACTGTGTAGCCAGGTTGATTGTGTTTCTTCTGTATTTCACCTGACTTTTTACCTGACACTGCAAGGCCACGAAACTGCAAAAAGAATTTGCAAAAACCCTTCTTATTGCAAATGCTTCTCCTTGACAGGTTCACAAGGACACTTAGAGGAAAGGATCTTGCAAAAAGGGAGATGAAAGGCATTTGGCATTTTTCAAGTTTAATAGATTGTTTGTGGCAAATGAAAGTTTCCAGGAGTTCTCATGGAAACATTTTCACGAGCTCATGTATAGGCAGACTGTTAGAGATCCAAGGGATGTAAACAGTCTTTGATCTTATATTGTCAAGCTCCACTTCGGTGCTAAACTGCATTTATTATATCACTGTGGTTTCACTTCAGAGTTTTGGCAGATTTTGGGCAGACTGTGCCAAACAAATGCATAATACCAATTCTGTACCATTAAGCCATATCTATTCTTCACAGATAACAACTTCTGAATCAATGTGAATCTTTTCCAAATTGGCTGCCATTTGAGATGAGGACCAATGTCAGTACACAGTCTGTTCTGAACTCAGCAACTTTTTGCTGAGCCATTGGGTTCAAGACTCCAAAGGACACATGGCATCACTGCTTACTTTGAAAGGAAGATTTTCAGTGTCTGAGGTAGGAACCATCCCAATGGACTTTATGCAAAAAATGTAAAGTACACTCTAGGTGTGTAGGCATCTGAATAGTACAAGGATAAAGACCCCAAGGAAACTGCTCTCTCAGCTTTGGTACATACAGCCCAGAGCCCTGCAGATGATTACATAATTACATATACAACGCTATCTGCTATGGCTAAGTCCTGTAAAGAGAAGGAAGAAGAAAAGGAAGGCTCCCACTCACCTACAGTCCTGCCTGGGTTTGGGTATGTACCCTGGGTAAGCTCCCTCTGTGATCAGCTTGCACATCCTGCTGTCCCTGTCGGAGGGGAGCAGCGTGCTGGGTTTAACAAGGAGCCCAAGGCAGTGATCGAACGTGTTGCGCTCTTCTGGTCCGTCCTCCGTAAAAAAGCAATGGCCCAGTGCATCATAACCCACCACATCCTTCACCTGCATGCACAAAACAAAGGTCAGTGTTTAGGCTTCATGCTTCAGCCACTGTGTAATTAGAACAAACTTTACAGTGATGGCACATAGGAGCCCCAGCACCCTTCTGAGCTTAGGCTCTGTAGGCAAAATCAGAAACAAGATCACTCTCTGCCCTTAAGAGCTCACAGTCTAAGCCATAACTCCAAAACTTAATTAGAATTTGTCATCACCTAGGAAATGCTCATTCCATTCTTTTGTTGGTCTGTGAAATCAGAGACTTTCTTAGCATGAGGCTGAAAAAAACATGGGGTTGGGAAAGACATTAGATGTTCAAATCACATCTGAGCTCATTCATCTTCATGTGGAGTTACATAAGCAGCTACATAAAATGCAACTGAAAAATGCAGCTGAGCTGAAAAAATATTTTTTCAGGCTATCAGAGAGGCGGCAAGTTATTTTCCAGACAGGCTGGCTTGTTTTGGGTTTGACCTGATCCTTTTTTCCAAGTTGTTGACAGAAGCTTTACTTGACCCTGAGACAAATCAGCTGGTGTTAATCAGTGCTGTTCTGGTTTTGGTTTGCATGTTGTTAACATTGGGACACCATTGGTTGGACAGAACAATACCCATCACACCACTGGAAGATCTGAGAAAACAATTTCAGGAGAAGATACATGAATTTGAAGCCCAAGGCTAGGACTGGGTGGGAAACAACAGCCCCTGGATATGCAGCAAGTGTATCCAGCAAGTCAGTTGTTAGCAGATACATCTGGGATATGGAAAATTAATTTCAGGTCTCCATTGACCAGGTGAAGGTCTGGATCCCCTAGGTTTTCTCCTTGCTGTTCCCATCAGTCATCATCCATCAATCACCTCGGACTCAGGAAACCTTTCTACCTGCTTCTGATGAAACAGCAATTGCCAAAGGGCAAAAGACAACATTAAACTAGATGGAAGACCTGTTCATCACAGTGTCATTGAGAGACCTGGGTGTTCAAGTGCTTGAATTACTTTTGCAAACGGATCTCAGACTCCTTTGTCACCTTCATGCCTCATTCTCAAGGCAAGGAGAACCAATTTCAAATGAAATCCAAGGATTAGTGTTGAAATTATCACAAATATGTTTTCACATAAGAGAAAACACTTTTCTTGCCAAATCTATTACTAGCTTACATCCACACAGACTTCTATTATGTATCATCCATCCGTGCTCCAGTGTAAATACTCAAATCTCTGAACACGAGTCATCACAGTAAATTAAACACAGCTAAAATGACCTGCAAAGCAGTGCGTTCCTTCAAATTACCTCACTGAAATTTATTGCTAACTTCCCATATTTAATAAAATGATAGATTTTGCAAGGTTTAGGCTTCTTTATTAAGGTGTAAAACGTATATATATATATATGTGAGTATATATGTATAACATATATACTCACATATATATGTGAGAACATATAAACTGTTCTCACTCAGAAGAATGAACTCTCTTAACCATGTAATAATAAAGGTTTACAGACAGAAGAACATTTCAGGAGCAATCTTTTCAGAAGAAGTTCTCCAACATTTACAGAAAAGCTTTTAACTACAGAGATGTCAGAATTCCACAGAAACTGTCAACATACCCTATTAGCTTTCTCTTACAGAACAGTAATACTGAAAAGACACATAAGGAATGGTGTCACAACATTTAGAAGCAGTTTCTGTAGAGAAAGGCTTGCCCCTTTGGCCATTTATTTTTCCATCCAGCACAGCACTGCACCGCACCAGGGCTGGGACATGAAAGCCTGCAGTGATCAGACTTAGCTGGGGCAAAGCCACTGGGAGTACCATCACAGGGGAACACATCTCCCAGTGGGGTGAGAGAGGGAGAAAGCAGAGAGGGGTGTGTGCACTGGCAGAGGGGCTCAGAGCCAGCAAATGCCTGCTGTTCTCCTAACTTATCCCTGGAAGTCCACAGAACAACAGGAGTTATCAGCCAGGGACCTGGTCCCTTAGGCCTTTTTTACCCTCTCTTTGATTAATTATTTCCCCGTATCTCACCTCTCAGTCAGCTCTGATTTGGTTTCCTGGGCATGCTTTCATGCACAAGCCCAGTACTGAAATGCTTGGATAGCAAATGAGATGCTTGTTCCAAAACCACTTTTCTAATGGATTTAATTTTTTACTTGATTAAAACCTTGCTAATAGTCCATAATCTTACATTAACCATGAGTAATTTAGGGCCAGATAATGCCCTTCCATGGCAAAACATTGCTGCGAATTATAGCTGGATTAGTAAAAGCAGATACCACTGAAGCTGTTTGATAGCTCAGCCTCTTAATCCATGAAGTACAGCTCTCCCCTGGATCCTGCCAGACTATTTATTGACCCCCATTTAATTTCCTTCCCCAATGGGTGTTTCTATTTTAGCTTCCACACTGGGATCCAGTGGAGAGAGTAGGAATCAGAGTAAAGTTTCATCCCTGGGATTGCAGTGGTGTAACAAGGTGATTTTTTTGGCCAAAATAATAAAGCAAGCATTGGGTAATTATTGCATTTTAAAACAATAATTATGGTGAGAAAGTAATTTCTACAGATTTATTTCCAGAAGGACCCTCTGTGCCTTCCAGATAATATGGATTTGCAGACAAGTGCAGAATAGCCCATCAATAAAGTGAGCTAATGTTGAGACAGCAACTTCTAGCAGACTGTACAGACTCACAGAAAAACAGATGTCATCAGGAATAACTGGATACTCTTTTCTCCTAGACTTTTCAGAATTATTATCTCTGAAATGTCATGAGAAAAGTGGCAGCAAAGCAAGCAGTGAAGCTTGTATGTAAATTACCAACCTGCTTTAATGACAGTTAAAAACAACTGATGCCCCTTTCCCACTTATTAAAGCATTTGCACAGGTTCTCTACCACACTCATGCAAGTTGCCCCTCTGAATTCAACAGCTTAATGTGAAGGACATCCTTTAGTGCTGTGCTGTGCTGAGGTTTAGTGGTCCAGCTAGACAATTTTCCAAAGTGTGGTTTGTGCACATCATTAAGGCAAATTTTCCCTCAGCAAAGAATGCTTTGGATCCCCCTGATCTCAGAGGGGATGAATGTTACCTGGGGAAAGACAGAGCTCATCTCTGTTTGCACAAATGATGTTCTTGCATGTAGGAACAGGTGGTGTTGCCCAAGTAGAAAGATAATAGGCAACTAGGAAATGTATGGAATAGCTATTGTAATCATCAGAGATCCATGTGCGTGTCAGTGAATAAGTCTGGGGGAGAAGGAAGAGGAAAGGAAGGAAATAAGAGTCAGAAAGCAGAGGAGGAGATTGTGGAGGGATCACCTGATGAATCAAGGCATGGAGCTGCTGATGCAGGTGTCTATCTGAGCAATGAAACAACATCTAAGTGATGCAGCATTTGGAGCACAAATTCTGTGATGCAACTGACCAAACTCGCTCAGATTGCTTTGGTTCACTGGGGCTTTCTTTTTAGCTGTCAGCAATAATTATGAGGTTAACGTAAAAAAAAACAAGTAACGTATTATAAGTAGAGTTCAGTATTCACATATTTTGACAAAGTAAAATCAATAGGGATTAAATTCCTGACTAACTAACGTCCTAAATTCTAAGATTTCTCTTGGGTGCCTTTTCATAGAGACAAAGCGGGGTCATTTAGGGAATTGTGGTTGTTGAATGACAGCAAGAGAATCAAGTTGCTTTCATCAGCTACATCAGCCTGTCTAAATTTCATCATGCCATCTTGGTTGCAGAAGCCTGAGCACATGGATCCCTACCCTATGGATGCCTCATGGCATAGTTGTCACCCAGAGAAAACAAAAGAGACAAAGTTATTTCCAAATGCTCTATATAAAGCCATCCATCTGACTGATAGAAGAATGCCTGGCTCTGGGTATTTGGTTTGGCAAGTATTAAGCAACAGGGAATGAAGATCTCACATCAGATCTAGAAGCAGAGCTTTAGCTGGTCTGCAGCTCATCAGCAGCTGTGCAACCTCTGTGCAACCACGGGATGTGTTTATGGTGCCACTGCTGACAGACCACCATGGTGTGACAGATGAGCTCCTGCAAGACCCCACAATGCTGCCATGCCACTCTGCACATTAATTGTATACTAAGCCCCTGTACAGGCAGCCTCAGATTGGGCACATGCCATATCACCCTGAAGGACTTATATAATTTATGCTGCAGAATGTCTTTTTTTTTTTCTTCAGAAGCCCTGTTCACTCGGTAGGTTTTCAGAATTGTGTTATAAACTTAGAAGGACAGAGGTCAACCCCAAAACCTCAGATTCATAAATAGCAGATAAAAGCTGCTCTGCTTCTGGAGCTGTAATTTCAATGTCCTTTGTTCAACTTCTGTGAATTTTAATTATGCCTGTCACTCTCCTTTCCAATGCTGCCACTTTTAGAGTATGAACTCCAAGTGCACAGTGACCATCCAGGTTACAACTGCCAATGATATGTTTCCACTTAAAACTCTCTTATACATAGCAGCAGGACTCTTGATGGTACAAATTCTCCTTTTCAGGGCTGTGATACACTCTTTTCCTTTTGGAATACACTGCCATCTCACTAAAGAGGTGAGAGTCCTTTGCCTACAGGAATCCTGCACCACTAAGATTTCCTTCTTGAAGCACATCCAACCTTTCTGGACTCCTCTGCCCTTCAGGAACTGCCTCCCAAGGAATTCTGTCAAACATTCTCCTAAACAGGTCAAAATCCGCCCTTCAAAAGTCCAAGACAGCCATTCTACTGACCTCCCTCCTTAATTCTGCAAGAGTAGAAAACTCAATAATTTTGTGATCACTATGGCCAAGATGGCCTCTAACCATCACATCACCCACAAGTCCTTCTCTGCTCACAAGCAACAGGTCCAACATCCTTACCACAAAAACAAAGGTACCTCTACATCTGGAAAGAATCTGACCATGTTCTTAACATCTCTGGTGTGCTGTAACTTTTCTGGTAGGTATCAGTTATTTTATAGATTTATCCTGAAGGATTTCTTGTGTTGGAGGGCAACTCTGGCAAATCAGAGCTCTGTGAGTGCTTGATGTTGTAATTGGCATTGCAAACCCAAACCTTTATTACAGGAAAGATGAGGCACACTTAAATCTTCTGATTATCCCCTTTAAATAGCAAGCTCTGTGGCTCTGTGTCTATAGATAGATCCAACCATCCATTAGAGATGGGCTGGTCTGCAGACATTGCTGCACACAAAGAATGTTCTGCCCGCTCTGAGTCACACACAGCCCATAGTGCCACACTGGCAAGTTGAAATACTCCTGCTGTATCCAGAGTGGGAAGAGTCAGACATTGGCTCTAACAATAAAACACATCATCCTGCAATACTTGAGCTGTACCCATGCTACGAGGAAATTTTTTTACTGGTGCCTGTGTCTCTAAGGTAGACACTGGGACTTCTTACCAGCAAACCATTGGATCCGTGGACTGTGACGCAGCGGGAGAAGGTATGGTGGATGGAGGTGTCCTTCACATACGTTGGAGGGTTGTAGCCTCCTTTCTCATCCACATCTCCAGCCATATGGAAATGAATTGGGTAATGTCCCATTGTCTGCTGGCCCATGTACTTCAGTTCTAGACCTTCAATATGGGTAGCCTTGAAATCTAGACCAATCTGGAGAGCAGAAGAACATCAGTCAATAGACACAAAAGCCTTTTGAGGGCAAGAAGAGGGAATACAGGCATAGGAAGGGTTGCCCTGTGTCTGCTGGAAAGATTAACTCTGTGGAGGGAAGGGTATGGCTGCAGGGTGAGGGAAACAGGGTAGTGGTGGCTAAGAGACCATAGCTGTTCTTTGATCCCCCCACTGCTGTGATGGCTACACTTAACTAAATTTTAGAAGGAAAACAGTTTTTATTTAATGTTTTCCACAACTTTCAGCCAGCTGGGTTCAAATCAAGCTTCCTGGGCTGAGCACTACCAAAATCTGGTGAAAACTTAGATCGGGATGTGGAGACTGTATCTCAGGTGGGTTGATAAGCAGTCTCATTGGCTGAGCAATGTCTGCAGGGGCCTGCCATGCACTTCAAATCCAAAGGACAGGCAGCAGCCGGGGGGTGGATGTGCTGTACTGTGGGGAGAGTTTGTTTGCTCAATGGCTGACATGAGGAATTTTTCCCTTCCTGCATCCTGGTTTCCTTGGTATGTGAAGGCGTGGCTGGAGGGAGGAAAATGCAAGCAAAGGGCTCCAGCCCTACCTTGATGTGTCCCCCAAAGGTGTCGAAATCAAAGAAGGAGCATAACTTGCTGCTGTACTCATAGCACTGCTCCTCCATCTCGCCCATCACGACGATGTTGCGGCTCAGCAGCCCCACCTCTGCCCGCATGTCGACACCGTCAATGACTTCCCCGGTGTGGAGGTAGGTGGCTTTTCCTAAAGGAACAAGATCCAGTTTCAGGGTTACTCTGCCAATGCTGCTGGTTTCCCCTTGTGCCTCCTGTGGTGTGGCTGGCGTGAAAATGAAAGGAGTAATCAAGTCAGCAAAAAACTGTTGGCCAACACCTCAAAGGAGGGAAGGCTGGAACACAGGTGACACCCAAGGTCTTGCTGAGACATTTGCAAAAGAGGAAGTGGGGTTTTTGGTCTTAAGTTGCTTCATTTAACCAGGGAGTTAAACTAACAGTGTGTTAAGGCAAAACACATTTTCTACCTTCAAAAGGGACTGCAGACATTTGAGACTTTTTTATTTTGGATTACAATCAGCTGTGTATGAACATCTAATGCAAAAAGACCTGATGATGTAGCTACTAAAAAGTCTAAAACCCCAAGGTTAGCATAGCATAGACACTGGGAGCTATTCAGATCCCACAACACTACTCATGGGCAAGCATCAGTCAGACCCTGGTAACACCATGGTTGTTAATGCAAGCAAGGTGAGGACTGGGCAGACAGCCTTGCAGAAGTTGTGGCTTGGGACAATCACAACCCCTCACCAAGTTTATGGGCTGTAAAACCTCCCACTTCCTGCCCACCCAAACCTCTCAATTTTAGATCTACCCTCACATCTCCAACTTGCTCCCAGCGCTTCCTTCTGCCCTGGTATAGTTGGAGCTAATAGGATTTCCATTTACCCCATGCCACATCTCCCTTTGCCAAAGCCAAGTTACTCATAACATCCTCCACACACACACACACACACACACACACTCCCCTTCATGGAGGAGTTAAAAGCACAGAGAGTTTTCCCTACCCTGACCAGAAAGGGGTGAAGTCCAGGCAGTGTGGATGTCTAGAAAGCAAAACATCTCTTTGCTGTAATTTCATTCAAACATATTCCTACTCCCTCCTTCCTTCCGCAGCTTTCTGCAGGGAAAAGCCAGTTGGGAAAAGGTTCATCTTACTGACTACGTTCTGCATTATTCCAGTAAAAATAAGTAATAAACTCTTTAAGTAAACACTGAACTTTAAGGAATGCTACACTCGCATGTATTTAATTTCCATGGAATCGTTCAAATCCTTAATTAGAAACAAATGGCAAGCCTGAAGCCTGGCTATCACTGTAAAGCACTTTATGCCTAAACAGAGGTGCCAACTCAACGGGAGGATTTTGAACACCGAAACAGTATTGTTTTTAACCAAACCATGATACTTTGACTGCATAACAAAGATAAGCAAACATCATTCAGTCCCTCTTCTCCCGCAGCTGGGAGCAGTGTAGTTTGATGGTAGTACTGGGATTTGGGAAGGGTGAGTGCTCCACCTTGCTCCGAGATTGCCGCGTTGTGGGATGACATTCACACCATGACATGTGACTTCTGCCTTGGCACATCTGCCTTCAAAACAACCTGATCATGTGAAAAAACAACCTCTGTTAACTAGAGGAGTGGTGATGGCCAAATAGGGGGATGCAGCTTTAGGGCTGCAGTGGGAAGATGAAGCTCCTCCAAGCTCTGCACTCAGCCCACAAATGAGGGGCTGCAGATGGGTTTGCACCTCACCCACTTCTGCAGTTACCTCCCTAGGAAGTTCCAGGCTTATCCACAGCTCTGCTGTTCCCCTGCAGCCAATGAGCCCCACCAGCTGTGTGGCCAAAACCAGACCCCACCCACCAACCCATCCAAAGAGCAGCTCTGCTTCCCTTATTCACATAGATGAAAAGAGTCACTGCAGTGAGTCCCCTCCATATGAGAATACTCTATGCTGGATCCTTGAGTGAATCTGTTTCTTATGAAACTGTTTTTAAGCTGTTATTTTTCAGTTTTCCCCAGAGCTGACCTTTCCTTGATTTACTGAAATGCAGGAAGAAGTTCAGATAATCATAAGAACATCCTATTTGAAGCCACATCTCCAGGATTTGTGGCAGTGAAATTAGATAGGCAGTTTTGTTATTCCTGTGCTGAGCTCTAGAATAATAAATGTCATGCTTGCATGTATTTAATTTAATTTAACACCAGTCCAGACATGCAAAACAGGGTAAGCCCTGGCAGGAATGTTAAATACGGACTAACCAGTTTCTAAATATAACTTCTTGGGTGCATGTTTTTCACTTTGTGCTTTTGCTGACTTGACATGTTTGGAGATAAAGGGAGAGATGGAAAGCAATCCCCTTCCAAAGTAAAAGCGGATTTTGAATAATAGCTCCTTTAACAGAGTTTTGAAAAACAAACCTCTCCTCAAGGCAGACAGAAATTCAAGCTCCCCATGGCAACAGGGCTGAAACTGCTCGTGGGAGTCAGAGCCTGGGAACCCTCGAGTGCTGTACGTGCCTGCTGGGAACCAGCACTCCAACACCAGGCACTTCCCATGGGACCAGGAGTACCATGAGGTGCATTTACAGACGTGTGGCACTTCCAGGGACCTGCTGGGACATGTTTAGTGATGGGAATATATAAAAAAAAACTAATCAAGAGCTTGCTCTGTGGTGAGTTCTGGGAGTTCAAGCAGGGACAGGAGTGTCTCACTCTGCAGAGTACTAGTTTGAAGTTAGGCTGCTGCTCACAGCTGGCACACAGAGCTTCCCAGAGAGCAGCCAGGATATCTGAGACCCTGAGCATTGACCATGGGCAAACCCAAGCCTGGGGTTTGCAAACTGGCACTGAAGTGGTTTGACACTAAAAAGGCAACACTGCTTTGAAGGTGGGAGGAATGTGTCTGCTGCTTCAGCATCAAAGCCAATGCTGCAATTGCCCAACCACTAACAAGCCCAGAGGCCACTGATTCACCTTCTCCTTTGGGCTTGCTGCATCCCTCATGGATAGATATTGCCCTGCCAGCAAGCCAGGCTTGTGCCATTTTATAATATAAACCAAACAAAGCCTTGCAGTGACACGGATTATGTCTCCCTACAACAAGCCTGTTTGACGGACTAGGAAAAACACCACCCTGGGTTTGTTGCTGTATGTATCACACCAGTGCCTCCACTTAGCACAATGTAAACTCACAGGGAACAACCTCTTTAATATGTGGGCTTGCCTGGTGGAAGTCTTGATTAATCAAAATACGAGCACATTTCCATGCTTATTACTCAAGACAGCCACTACTGAAGGCACCAGTTGTTGGCAAAGACAAGGTCATTAAAAGAAAGTATACATTAAAATAAATATAGATAATCCACTAATTAAGGACATGCTTATGTCAACAAAGAAATTCAAAGCATAGTCTCTCCAAACTGTAAAAAGCTCCAGGAAAACCTGCCATGCCTGAACCTAGCCATAAAACCTGGGTCTCGGGCCTTATCAAACCTGGGATGGGTGGAATTTTAAAGCTATTTCAGCTTTTACAGATGTGGAAGAGTGCTCAGGTCTGGCAAGTTAGACAGATCTCTCTGAAAACCCTCCCAGGTACACTCAGGCATTCCTAAATCCCTTGGCTTTAAATGATACAAACAGCTAAATCTCCCTTTGAGAAGTGAAACAGGCACTTGAAAGTCTGGGTATGGTGAAGATAAAGTGAAGCTAATGTTCTCCTGGAATATTTTTTTTCTCTAAAGAGTCTTTTCCTTTGAGCTCTCAAAGGATAAGACCATGTGTCTCATGGTCTTTTAATGTTTCTTAAACATTTTTTTTGAGGGAAATGCTACACAATTTGTCTGCCCAACCCACATAATCCCATGACAGTGAATGCCCCTCCAAGGCATCTTTAAGTCAGTGCAACTCATTGCAGATGCCAGCCCAGATCTGACAAATTTATCATTTTTGCCAAACACCTGTCATCACTGGTGGTAATGCCTCTATTGCTCGTATTTAATAACCACCAAATGTTCACAGGGCATCCCTTCAAATCCTCATTATTCTGAATTACCTTGATGGGGTTTGTTGTTGCATCCCTAAGCCACAGGCCTGTAAGGCAACACAGCGTGGTTTGGGTGAGCTGACCAGCTCAAGTCACACAGTACCACCTGATGTCTTAACAAATAAATATTCCTCGAATTTGTAACTTTTACATGGAAAATTAAATTTTCAATAAATAGATACACAGCAGAAAGCATGAAACTTTGTAAGTTGTTCAGAGCTAACTAAACCTTCTTGAGACAGTTTGGTGCTGGGTAATTCATCCTTTTATAGCCCTTAATCCCTTTTCTCCTTCAAAATCCTGCACGGTGTCCCACAATGCTCAGAAATACACCTTCTGTTGTAGGAGTGTGAGGAGCCTTGTGTTCACATGGATATTAAGTGTATGTTTAAATGCTGTATTGGATCAAAGCCTCAGTAGCTTTTGGTTTCAATGAGCGGACCTTCAGACTGCAGATGGGCACAATACAAGAACACAATACAAAGACTGAGGGCAGTGCACCCCACACTGGCTTCAACCGAGCACTGAGAGGTCCCTGCAAGGTGCATTAGTGTTTTATCCCAATGGCAGTGTCACTGTCTTTCCTAAGCCCACTCCTGTCCCACCTCACACCCTCTTTCTGTAGCAGCTGCTTGGCAATCTACTGACACACTTCTGTAAATGTGAGGTTTTCCAGCTCTGACCTTCAAGGTTTTTATGCTCTTTATCCTGACATGTAAGTTCTTTCAGCTGGAATGGGAAGATTAGGAAGGTGGACAAACAGTTCAAATATTTACTAAAATCAGGCTCGAACTCAACCCTTCTGAAGTGCTATGAAAATCTGAGTATTTTTCTGTCCACTCAGCTTTTAGGTAATGCCCAAAGGTAGAAGAAGGAGCTCTGAAAGGCTGTTAGAAAGGGCTATTTCACAAGATTTCCTGCCCAGCCCTCAAGCACCAGGGTTGCATTAAAAAAAAAAGAGGTTTTGGCAAGTTGCAGCCAAAATGATGCCAGCTTCTAAATAGAATACCCTAAATCTCTAGAAATATCTGAATCTTGATAGTGGAGAAAGTTCTCCCATCCTTACAGCACAGATGAATGCTGACACAGTCTGCAAAGTTGTGAGACAACTATGTATTAGCATTTTTAATTCAAAGATCTCTGCATGAACAAGATCACAGTAAACTCCATATCTCTCTAGTATTTGCAACCCAGTAAGCATGATTTAGGAGATGTATGCTTGTAATCATAGATTCACCAGTACGTGGGATAATTGGAGTAATTATGCCAGGCACAAATAGTTTTTTCATCCTTTATCAAGAGCATATAGGAGCACAAAAGAGCATTTCATCATTTCTGTTCCATGGTGAAACTTATCAGCATTTGTAGTAACTTCATACAGAGCAACCAAGATGCAGATAAGACTTGTTTCCCAGGGAAACTAGACAAAATACTTGATCTTTCCTACTATCCAGTTCTATCGTAACAACACAACCCTTCCTTCCTTCCTTCCTCCTCCCTCCCTCTGCCCTTCACTGTCGTCCCTCCCCAAACCTTGTGAAGTTGGAAGATCAAACACTTTTAATCTGTTCCCACAGAGAAAATAATCTAGGCACAAAAATGACAAGCAAGAAAAGTTAAACAAAGAAGGAAGCGGAGAAAAAAAGCTCCATTAAAGTGAGCGACCGTTTGACTGGGAGCAGGGCCTGCAGATCTGGGTCCTCATGCACAACACATTTACCCATGGGAACCACAGTTTCAACATTACTGTAGTTACTCCAAGTAGAGGAGTGCAAAAGATCAGAATCTGGGTGCTCTCCCTCACTTTCTACACTCAGATTTGCCAAAGTCCACAGTTAGACAATTAAACCCTACTAAAACCTGATGGCAATTGAGTATTAATGCCCTTAAGTTGTTTTGAAAAGCTCTAATCAATCCATTTCTAGCAAGTAAAAAAAGTATGAGTTTCAGCAGGAAGTATCAAATATAAATAGGACATGAGCTAACGAATGAGTTTGACTTATTTGGCACAATATGCTAAACCATGTCTATTAAAATACTATTAAACGATGAGAACATAAATTATATTAAACCTTGGTATGCCAAGTAGCTGCCACACCAAATTGACTGTCCACAAGGCAGAGGTTTTCTGCCTTTTAAGAGACTCAAATAATTCATATCTGACATTTAGGTTTCATTTTTTTTAAAAAATAGAAAAAAAAATTAAAAGGGAAATAAACCATCACGGGTAGGAATGGTTTTATCATCTGTCTTTCAAAGGACAGACTTTTGGAGTTCTCAGCTGCTAAACTAAACCTCTTAGGAAAATTAAGCCATTCCACTTACTACAAATGACATCCCTCTGAGACCCTGTGATATAAATGCGTGGAAGGCTTTACTCGGAGGGAGCAAAGCAATCTTGCATATGTCCATAGCAAAAGGAAGGCAGACATCCACGATGAACATCTTCTGCATGCAACTACAAGCCTAACCCAGACCTACAAGGCCAGGCTGTGCTGGGGCTGCTCACCTGTGCTAAGACAGGGGGCCATTACTGGTCCTTATTCCGGCTAATTGCACGCCATGGCACATCAAGTTACACCATGGCCAGGCACAGAGCAACTCAGGGACCTCTTGGCTCCTAAAGATGGGGGACAGCTCAGCCTTGCCCAGGTTTTATTTCATCTAAACTGAACTTAGATTCAGGCAGATTATTTTATTTTCTAGTGTGAATGTGTTTTTGTTAAAAGAAAGTTGGATGTGATTTTTATAACTGGACTGGATTTTGCCTTGATTTATATAATCAGTGAAATCCCATTGACGTCAATGGAGTTGCCTGGATATAAGTAAGGGGAGACTTTGGCCCTGGTGTTCATGTTATTTGTGGTAATAAAAGGAATGTCCTAATTCTCCTAAAGAGTAATCGGAGACCAAGAGCACAATTACTTTAACAAGTGTTTCCACTGTCTTCTTTACTTGAAATTCACATGAACTTTTTTGTTGTTTTTAACCCATTATTCATTTCCTTAAACTAACTTAGCTGTCCTTGTTGCAGAAGACAAGTGTAACTACATGAATTTCACAGATCCATTAGATTATGGGAAGCCTAAGAAGATTCCTGTGCCATCTTTATTTGTACTGGTCATCTTCCAAGACCATCTTCATCATGTGACTTGTATCCTACTACTCTGGGCCCAATAGCTGAAAAGTTGCTCAAGAAAAATATTCTACTTGGAAATGTGTCTTCTTTGAAAGCACTAGTCATTTTAAGTCATAAGACTATGATACATTCGAACTGTGAATAACATTTTTCTTGGCTTGATGAACATCTCCAATGAATGGCTAGAGCTCTGTGGGAGGCAGTTGCCAAAGGAAGTATATTTGTACCTTCCAGAAGTAGTTGCATCAGAGATAATGTTGAAGTGGTTCATTTCAGAGAACCAAATGAACTCCCTGGTGCATTGGATGTTCCAAGTGCCCTCATGGTTTCTCAGAAAGATCTTACTGTAAATGCAGACAAAACCTCTGCCTAGAGCAAAGGCCAGTGCATAAGCAAAAGATATTGTAACATGCATGATTTACCACTGGGCAGCTGCTGCCTTTGAATTACAGCCTCAGCTACTACAGACTTTTATGTTGTAAAATAACATTTGCTTTTGTAAACTATAAAAGTAAAAAAATCCTCATCTCTTCAGAGAAGAGGCAGTTCATGTGCTATTTCCATTCTCTGCTTATCAGTGTGCCAAAACATGGTTCTAGAAGGGAAAGACCACAGACTCAAGGGGAGATGTAAATCTCCCACTGAGGGTTTCACTTTTATGCTCTTTTATACTGATAATAGTCTGTGCCTCATCACGGTTATGCTACTTAATTGGACTCAGTATCTGGAGGCCACTTTACAATTACTGGACTACAATGTCTTTTCATCAAAAGCAATTTGTCTGCATTTGAGCCAGTCACCTTCAAGAGAAAAATGCTGTGGCTCTGCAAAGGCTCCTGCTCCTCCTGCTCAGACCAGCTCAGGCAGCACGCTGCCGACCCCATCTCCCCAGTACAGGACAATTCCCTGGCCTCCAGAAATGTTTGGTTAATACATCACCTCTAAGCAATGCCGTCTAGAGACACAGTAAACGAGAAACAGTAGCTTCAGTAGTACAAAACAGTATTTCTAAAATGTAAGATTACAGTTCTTGTTAAATAAAACTTAGGAGAACAGCCAGCTGGACATTACTTCATAGCCTTACAGTCTCTCACAGTCTGCTCCTGCCCTAGATCACTCTTCACATCAGCTGTGCTCATCTCCTGCTTTCTAGGAAGTGGTATTTCAAATGTAGTTACTGCAAATTTCAAATCCCTGACCTGCATCTGTCCCTCTTAAATAAATACTCCCACTCAATAGTGTGCTTGGGGACAAAAAAATGGAGTCAGCTGTGAAAAGAGAAGGCAGAAAGGAACCAGAATCAAATTAGATGGCTTTTAAGCATGAAAGGAGTTATGTATCCCAAAAGCATTGAAAAACCAGCCCTCAAATTCAAGTGTCTTTCAACTCTTTGCAATTCTTTGTGGAGTCACCTCAGTGCAAATGACAGAATTTGTGAACTGCAACACCAGCACGGTAAAATGAAGAGCCTTACCTGCTACCTTGACCTGGTTGGGTCTGCAGGTGCTGCACGGCAGTACTTGGAACTCCTCTGCCTGGTACATGGAGTAATCAGTGCTTGCCACCACCAGCCTGTCTCCAGGTTTCCATGAACTCACGTCATCCACCAGATTCAGGACTGTGCTGTTCACATTGGTGTCAATGGTTACTGTGAGCTTTGGTTTCACTGAAAAGCCAAAATAGTTGGGTGGAGAATTCAGTTATTCTGATCAGAAATTTGTTTTTTTTTTAATGCCTTGAATGTCCCTAAAATTATTATTTCCTTGGGGGGAAGGGGTGGTGGTGGTGGGGAAGAGTTAACTCTTCCAAACATGTTTTTTCCTAACTTTGGCATGGAAAGCAAGAAAACAGGAAAGTATTTTCCTTCAGTTGCAGGCAGGTGGATTTTCCACTACCCCCGGGACTAAATTTAAATGTAGCTCTTAGTGGCTGATTTTCACCACACCCACTTAGCAGCAGCCCTTGTGGGCACTGGGTGCTGTTGTTTACAGCAGCCAAGTGGTCTTTAATGTAATGACTGTTTTTTCCAGAAAAACAGCAATCTTCCACCCTTCTTTTCCTGCCAGCTGAGCACTGAAGAATCCTAATGACCAGGTTAGGGACAGCGGTGTTGGAATTAATAACTACAAAATGAAGTATTAATTTCAAAACCTGTTGTCTTCACACATTCCGATTGACTAATCCTATCTTATCCCAAAATCCTTTTACAAAAGACAAGGAATTTACAGGAAGAAACTTGCCAAGTATTTGCCACAACCTTCCTGGGTTTTTGAGATGCTGCCCTGCTGCCTCTGTTAGTGCTTGGGAATTTTTCCTGGGATAAATCTTCAGCCATTTTATCTGAGTTCCTGTCGATAGCCCAGCCAAAGCTTTAGCTTGGAGACATTACCCAAGATGTTCTGACACCGAACAAGAGCCAGTCACGGGAGGACAGGATTTCTGCTGTTCTCTGTTCTGGCTTTCAGACACGGGGCACATACCAGATCTGCCGCACAGGAACCGTACTCTGTAGTTCTGGCAACCCTCGCCTGTCTGGCCCTTGCCGTGGCAAACAAACCGGTAATCGTGGCCACTCTTGTAGAAAACCTCCGTTGTTAAATCAGCCCCATCGAGCGTCATTGCCTGGAATGAGAATGGAAATATAACACAGGTGTTACTGTGAGCTGAAAAAGGATTTCACCAAAACATATCTGCCATCAGAAGAGGCATTTGCCATGTTTTGAGTGATGCACAACTGTTGCATAACAAAACACTGTGACTCGGTTCTCCAGCTGGTGCTCACACACAGCTCCTCTATCCAAAAGCTACATACATCATTGCTAGGTGCATGCCTTTCTCCTGTGTCTATATTGAGACCATGTGCTTTTTTTGGGAGGAGTATTCTGAGCCTCACTGACATCTGCCTCAGTGCCCCAGATTTTTCCCTTGACATTGGTTTGAGGGCAGATGGAAACGTTGAACACAGATGCTTGCACCCAAATGAACTCATGGTTTCAAGCTGCTGCACTGCACTCATTTAATTGCTTGTGGCTAAGCTCTGTCTGAACCTTGCAAAAGAAAGGGGCAAGGGTCTTATTTCTTCATTGCGTGCATCAGTCTCTCTTAAAAAATACCCCAAAGCTGCTGCAATACCCATTGCTTCAAAAGGAACAAGGAGAGGTGGCTTTTCCTCACAGACAAGTACCTGCCTGTAGAGCTGCCTTAAGCAAAAAAGGCTGTATCATGCCAACAAGCATTGAGATATGTAACCTCTCCCGTGTTCCTGCTGGAGCAACATCACCCCTCAGGGTCGTGTTAAATTTCACAGTCAGTCTCTATAGCTTGCATTTCTCTCGACCCTTTCACAAAAACGTGATGCCTTGCTTTGGGCAATCCAAATACCACGTGCATTTTAGCAAGGCACCAGGAGATAAATGGTCTTTCAGTGAAGGGTCTGATCCTGAGTCTCTCACTCAGGCAGACGTTGCTTAATAATGCACACACCCACTGCTGTGTACGGGATTAGCACCACCAACTGCAGGGATGTGCCTCTGGTTGTGCAGCACTTCTGTTATCATCATCACATCTTCAATTTTCTTGCATGTGGCAGAGCTGGAGCAGGCCAGCTGCTATAAATCAGTGTAACTTTCTGAAAGCAATGAGCAGCACCAGATTACACTACCTGAGGATTTGCCCTGAGATCTGCGGGATAAACTGAAAAATTACTCACTTTTAATGTACATGAGGGGGGAAAAACATAACTCATTTCACAGAGGAGGAAAAAAAGGTTTGTTTCTTGAACAGAAGAATATCTTTCTTGCTCCTCTTTTAACACACAGACTAGAAGGGGCTGTATCACAACAAACATCTGACCCCTGTTTTGAACTGAGTTGTCACTTCTAATACATGTATGTGGGAGTAGAGATGAATGCGAATTTGCTAAGACCTGGCAGAAAATTATAGGGCAGTTTTTTCCTTTCTGTTCAAGAGAGATTCTTTATAACATCTAGCCCTGGAAACTTTCACTCATACTGTCAGCATTCCTGTTTACTTCAATAGCCGCATTCTTGTGAATTAGGACAACTCCACTGGTTCAGAGCATGTAGGAACCTTCGATTCAGCCTCGCACAGATATGAAGGATTTTACTGTCTTTCTAGGCAATGTTCTGCTGGAGCTGTTTGAGCAGGTAGACATATAAAGTATATGGTGAACATATTAAAAAACAAAACAAAAACAAAACAAAAAAAAACCCTTGGGTTTTGCTCTTGGGCTTTTTTGGCCTTAAAGAGGCTTTTGCAGTCTCAGAAAAGGTACATGACTGCTCCTCAGCACACTGGCCTGATGGCATAATTATAATGTATAGCTCCAAACAGAATTCAAATTTCTTTCCACAGAGACTTTGGCTGCAAGCTCACCAATATTCTTGACTACCTCTACAGCTGGTAGTTTTACCATCTCATTACATTTTGTGATTAATTTTTTAGGTAGCGTCCATTCCAGGTCCATTTAAAAACTTTGAAATTTTCATGTGCTTTCTCCTTTTAATCTTCCAGTAGGGAACCACATATTTCATGATAGCATCTGTGCTGTCCATGACCCCATCTGTACTCCTTTTCATGCCAGAATTTACTGAAAGGAGCTCAATTCTATAAACTTTTTTCTCAGAATAATACAAGATTGACTACCAGATCTTGTTGGTTATGTATTAGAGCGATAAAGTAATTAGTGCCATTTATTTAGAAACAAAAATTACTGACAAGCACAATTATTTTGGGGTTCAGTGTCAGTGCAAAGAGGACTTGCCCCTCTAAAGTGAGCAGTAAGTCTGCCTACCTGGATGTCAATGGGCTGCCTACAGATTTTATCAGGATGAGCAGCTTTGAAGTCAGACAGCTTCTCCATGTCCTTAGATCTTGCTTTGTTAGGCTTCTCAAACCACTCTGTCCATTCTACATCTGGAGACAAGTGCAAACAAGAATAGTCATTTGAAAGTCAAGCTTAATGAGTGCAGCAAAAATGCATGAAGCATAATATGATCTCAGATATCATTCACAGGTTTCTTCACTGATGATCTGATTCCTGCCTCTTCCTGCCAGTGTGTCAGCCACTTTTAATGATGCTGTGAAGTGCAACCAGCCAAGGGAGAGCAGTTATTAAAAGCTACATAATTGGAGGATGCAGCATGAGCATTATTAATAGATATGGCTTTTGGATCTGTGTCCTCCTTAGCTGCCTTTTCTGATCTTCAGATCAAGTTGCGACCAGTTACTGTATGTTGTCTGACACATGGACATGATGACTATGCAGTCAAAAGAAGTAAGAGGTTGTGTGTGATCTCTTAGATCATAGGAGATGGAATTTCATACCCCGTGCGGTAAAGGAAAAAGGATCCCAGTTATTCAGAGAGTCCTGGAGACAATTGGCGAAAGAATCTGTGAGTGTTCTTTACTTGGGTTTGTGGCAACATAAATAGCAGCTAGCAAGTCCACTCTTCCCAAATGGAAAAGAATTGCAATGAAAAGGATGATTCACCCTATTTGTCAGCTGCCTACCACCGAGTTAAATAGCCCTCAGACCTCTTACCTTGAACCCACTCACTGGTCGAAGAGACGTTAAAATGTTCTCCATTTTCAGCTTTGAATAGTTTGAATACTTTGGCAACAGCTGACCCTCTGTGACCTGTTTTAAAAAAACAAACATTGGTACAATCACTGAATGCAATCAATAAAAGTCAGAACTGGTAATGGTCTGTGTGCGTGTTAAAATATTTTGGCTACATTATCCATAATTAGCCCTGCACAACATCCAGAAAAATTTACTGATCTTGGAATGAGGCTTCAGACACTTTTATAACTGCCTGGATAATCAGGAAGAAAAATCTGCAAAAATCAAGAGAGGATAAACTCCCCAGTTATTTGTAATATATTGCTATTTTTATTTGATGTTCTAGCAAGCAATGTTGTTCATGTCATGAGAAGACAGACTCAAAAGTGCTCAGCTTGCAAAAAATGGTTTCACAGAAGGATTTGAAACTACAGATTCAGAATACACAGATTAAATTTTCAACTGATCTGAACTGGTTCTGTTCTACAGCTTTGTGTCTAAGAGAGGCAGTGTCTGAGCTCAGTGAAGTTATATGAATTTACACTGGTGCAGAATCTCACCTCTTGTCTCAGGATTTGGATAACCTAAGGTGTTCCCCCCCTCAGCTGCTTCAGCTGCATTAGTGGAAAGAAGCAATATGTCCAGAGAGAATTCAATTAAATATGTCAAACCATCAGTTGCTCAAAGCTTTGATGGGATTCAGTGGCAAGTGGAAGCACCATCAGCCAAATTTATCTCAACCATAACTCCAGTAAGTTCCAGAGATCATGTCAAGACAGCATTTTGTACATTAAATACCTTGATACTCAATGTGGTCTTCAACAGAAGAGGAGGGATTTCCTTTAATGGTAATAAAACTCCATGGGTGCCTGGAAAATGAGAAATGATCAAGTTATGTCAAGTATGAGATGCATATTTTTCATAGCCCAGTGTTCTTACATTTCTCAGGGGCACCACATTCAAAACAGTCTGATTAGTGTCACAGGCAGCTTAGTTAAAATTAAAAATATCTTAACACCCTATATTTCTTCAGTAAATATATCAAAAGAGAAGGAAGTTTGAAGACAAATCCCCACTTAAAACAGTCCTGTAACAAGTGTGTTTCTTTTTTAAATGAGTGTTAAAAGAAACTTGTGTGTGACAGACCCATGGGACACTGGTAGCTCCCTGGGGAGCCTGAAAATAAATCTTTTGTGTGTGTGTGTTTGTGTGTACACAATATGAATATGAAGAGAAATCACTTCTGCTTAAATAAATTTAGCTCATGCTGAAAGCTTGTATATCACAATTGTGTTTGGAATGACCCATGAGAATTTCTAATAGACAGACTGGCTGGCAAAGGACAATAAAAAATACTTAAATAGTCTCTAGATATCTGGTTTCTTTATTTTGAACACTGAACAGGGATGAAGGTTTATGACTCTGAATTGTCTATTCAAATCTGATCCCCTGTCAGAAGTTGGTTCATTACCACCTGATGGTTATTGATTGAGTGAGTTCAATAGCTATCACTGGAGAGTGACCACATGGATGAGAAAGCAATGGATACAGGGACTAAATTGCCTCCCAACCTTGGAGATGAACCCGATTAATAGGGGTCAGGAGGAATTTTTATCTTCAAAATAGAAGTAGTTCAGGCATATCTGCTCTTAATGACATAGAGAATAAAAAAATATGCTTTTAGGGTGGTAGGGTGGAAGGAAATTTAGCAAAACCTACCATAGATTAAATCCTTAGATCTATAGTTGTAAATATCCAGTCATTTCAATTGCATCGAGATTTACCCTTGAGTCTTGCAGGTCATCTTACATTGACCATTCGCTGGTATAAGCAAAGTTCCAAACCACCCTGGGACTCCAGGAGAAAACACATACAGGCATTGACAGAGAGCCACTGAAACACTCACAAATCACCACTGCTGTGAGCTGGGCTTTGCTGGGATTCACAGCCCTGAGCTTGGGGAGCAGCAGGTTCTGGGGGAGCACTGGCGCTCCCCGAGCAGTGCCACGGCCCCATGAATGTGCTGGACGCGGTTGCTCAAGGAGAGGGAGTTCCAGCAGCGTGTCCTCAGGCCCAGCACAGGCCAGGCTCAGTGGGAGCTGCCAGCACAACTGCCTCGGGAGCCTGCCAGCGAGCCAGATGCTCCTGCTGGAAAACTTGCCTGTGTGCCAATTGCCGAAGGCACTGACGGGCTGTGATCTCCATCCAGGGAGAGAGGGGGATGGGGGCAGGAAGGTCACTTCATCACTCAGCAGTCAAGATAGATTTTTGTTATTGTTGTTGTTTGTTGTTATTATTATTAATATTTTGGTACACCAAATTTGAAGCATGACCCAAAAAAGTGATACCACAAAAATAATCTAAAGAATAAAAGCTATTTAGTTCTGCAGCTCAAGGTTTGGCCCCATTTCATGTGTTCAAATACTTGTTTCTCCCAGTTATTTTACCACTAAAAATAGTTTTAAAGTCATTCAACCCTGACACATAAGGACACATGCAATCTGTTTGGGCTACATGAAATGAAGCGACCAACAAGTCCGGAGCCAAACCGGTGATATTTGGGTGGGATTCCAAAGAGAACAACTATGTCATCAAGTGCAAAAAGGCTTTCTCTTCATTTATTAGTAAAAGGAAAAAAAAAAAAAAAAGGCTCACACTGAAAGAATAAACACACTTTTCAAAATGACAACAATAGAGAAGGAATGCAAGATTTTTCCTTTCATTCCTAATGTTCTGGGTTCAGCAAATAGGCAAGTGAAAGAGATGCCAGGAGCACAGACACATTTCTGGATAAATCAGCACTGCTCATCAGCTCTGCTACAGCAAGGGGGAGGTAGACAGGAATTTTTCCCTATAAACCCCACCAACACCTATCCAGAAAACAACACAATATACAGCATGGCTCAATAGCCTGACTCAAGTGGCACCCCATAAAATGTGGAACAGAAATTTCCTGGGGCTTACACTGTAATTGTCTGAGTGGTGCCCATGGCCAGCCCCAGCCACTGGCAAGGAGCTGAGAAGGTCTGACAGCCAGGATTCAGCAGAAAACCCCAGTGCTGGGCAGTGAGTGGTGACAGGGATGTTAGAAAGAAAAATCCATTGGCTCTCCTCAGCCAGAGCCTGCCTTGGCCACAGAAGTTCAAGTCTGTACATGTGTGTGTCATTTTCTCATTCTGAGCATTTTTTTTATAAGGTACTGCAAAAAATTTCAAAAAGTCAGGTATATGCATCCTTATTCGTAGTTACAGATGTCTCTGAAATGTAAACCAGTACATCTAAATCTTGTTACACTGAAGTGGAAGTTCAGTTTCCTCAAGGAGAAAAGCTTGGATACACCTGACAAAGCTACCTGTCTTCCACTGTGCAATAAAACAGCCTTTCTAAGTCTGGTCCCAGCTGCCATGCAGACAATGTGTTTTTTGAGAGCTGATGATCTTAAACTCTGAGAACACTCCTAAAAATACGGTATTTTAAAAAACGCACCAGATATTTTTCCACACACAATTATGCTGGTGGAAGACAGTGTTGACCAACTACTACCACATTATTGTACCCACAAGGTCTCAATAATTTATAGAAAGAAATATTGTAGTATATCAGATAACAGCATGGCAAGGATTAGCTTTTTGACTGCAAACAATAAAAATGCTGAAAGTCACCCTTCCATGGACAAATTTTTATGGTATTCTCATTAAAAGCACTGATGGCAAAATGGTGAGAAACCTGCATTAAAACACCGCAGCAGCCTAAAAACGTAAAGTGTTATTTACTTTTTATAAACATATGCAAGCCCCAAAATGTTCTTCCTGTTGAACAATTGGGGAAAAAAGTATATTTTCAAAAATCATTTTCTGTTTCCCTAATTCCAATAGTATTTGGAAAAAAACCCCAGCAGGCTACTGGGCTTTAACATGGGGTCTGGATATTTGAGAGCAAGGATTGCACTGATGGAGACTGCCTGATTTTGGAGATAATTTCTGGAGCCTTGGTTGATTCTTTACAATGTGTTGTCTGGTGCATAGGAGTCCATGTAACATTTGAGACAACCTCTTCACCAACCACCCCAAATTTTACTCCCTCTGTGTGTTCCCAGCTGACACATGTCTGTTTCCACTGACTGCTGTATTGAATCACTTCTCCCTACAAGGCAGATTTTGTGTGTTCCTTTGTGTGTCTGTGTGTGTGTGTGTTCTGCAGTCACCCTCTTAGTGCCTCATAAAAAAAAAGCCTACATAAATTCAGATAAACACAAAAAATATAATGGCTACAGTTGGGTAAATAGCAAGCATTCTCAACAGTGTGTGTGCCAACACAGACACTGTTTTGGCCACAGAAGTATTTACAGTCCACAGCATAAATCGATGCTTGCTAAATTTCTTTGCTGCACAAGTCCCCAGATCTGTATTGGACAAGCTGGAGAATGTGCTGTATGTATGTCTATATGTGTTTAGCCAGGGCTGCACAGCAATTATTCTCCACTCCTTAATGTTTAGCCCATCTAATCCACTGTGTGTGTATAAATATACCTCTTAAATCTTTGGGGGATGGCTTGAAAATAAATTGGAATATGCAACTTGTGGGAACAATATCTTGAAAAACATCTTTTTCCGTGTGAATCATATGCTATTCCTCAATCTGCTAGTAAAAATACCCAGTACAGACACTGAGGGCATCTGAAACTATCTAATTAACTGCTGAAACTTCAGATTGAGAAGTTTCCCTCTTTTTTTTTTTTTTTTCTCTTTTTTTTTTCTTCCCATGTGAAAGAACTTTGTGCCTTTGAGAGAGTGGAACTATTTGGACATCTCAGGAAAATAATAAAGCCTCTGTGCTGGGAGAACTGGCAGGACTGGCACATACCTAAACCCAAGGTGGAGGAAATGCTTGCTGCCCAGTTTGGTCATTGCTTTCCTGGCCAAGTCATCCAAGTTTCTGGATCCTTCATCGTTCACTGCAACCGACAGGATCATGCCATTTGCAACTCTGCCCAAATACTGGGCAAGACGGATACTTTCCTCTTTTGCTCTGTAGGTATCAAACCTGAAGTGATAAAAACAGCCATAAACATTTACTTCGGTGACCATACCTTTATGTACTGAAAAGCAATTGCTATAAAGAAATTATTTTGTATTGTTTACAGATTTAATATTATCCCATTGTAGAAGCGCTTATCTAACAGGGTATATGAGGGGTTACTTTTAAGCCAAATTGTTTAAGCTCTAGTTGACAGACTAGCAAGGTAGTCCCACTACTAACTCTGTGGTTTTGGAGATCACTGATGTAGAAAGAATTGAATAGACATGCAATAACACCCATTTGAACAAGATGGTAAAATGTGTGTTTCTGAGCTTGCTGAGATGCTGTCCCCAATGCAGTCCCAAAGATCCTCACATCCAGACAGTCAAAAAGTCACTCACCGATCTGAATGGACAACTGCCCCCGTCTTCGGGTCAATAACGTGGACAATGACACCCCGATGGCCCCAGCTCCTTTCAAAGTAATATCCACCTTCTTCCATGCCACCGGGATGGAGAGTCTTGTTTAAGAAGGTCCAGGACAGCTTTTTCTTTCCGTGGATCTCAAGAGTGCCACCTTTACCCACTCCAAGATACTTCTGTCCAAAGTAGGGATCTGGCTGGCTGCCGTCGTCCGCTCTGCAGCAGGAAGGGAGCAAAGGTTTGGGTTTGTATCTGACAGTCAGGGAGTCCCTCTCCTTGTGCTGCTGTGGCCCGAGGGGAGAAGCGTCATGATTTACAGAGCATTTCTTTCAGGTGCTCCAAGAATCAGCAGCTGCCCACATTGTGCAGAAAATAAATTATTTTAAATAGTACTAGCAACTACTGAAGACCAACAGCAGTCTGGAACACAGGTCATACATGCTATATTAATTATATGCAGGCCAGGGGAGGCCTAGAGCCCATCGACACACCAAGCGACACATCTGTATTTTTGAATTCTGGAGGCAGTTAGGACCCTAACCAGGAGCTAGGAGGTCTATTGGTTGTTAAATATGAATCTGGCATCCTTGAAATTCTAAGAGATCCTGTAGAAATCTGCAAGACATAAATGTATTATCCTCCAGCTCACCACTCTCATGTAGAAAGAAAGGATATTTAAAGAGGGGAATTTTCAGACTACAAGAAATCCTCAGGTTTTAAGCCTACTCTGGAAAATCATCTTGAGTGGTAGGAAGGTGCATGCTGATTCTCTGGCATGACCAAACATCCCAGTGTTCATATCCCAGTAGTAGAGTAAAAAACACCAACTCAAACCTGCATCAATTTTTATGGGCCATTTAAATTGTCCGAAAAGTTACTGAACTTTCCACAGAGCACCAGTATTCAAGAAAATGTGATTTTAAGGAACCTTTTTTGTTCCTTGATGTGAAAGAGAGGTCCTAGAAAGTTCCAAGATAATATTTAACGTGTATACATACCGCCCATATAAGATGATATCCACATTGCCTTGGTAAGGGCACAGCTCACTGCCAATGTGTAACTCTCCATCATTTTCAATGAGTATGTGTCTGGTACGCAGAGTGATTGGCTGCACATTGTCTTTAATGACCAGTTTTCCTAAGTAGAAAAGGTTATGACATTTGCTTTATCACACAGCAGCTCATCAGAGTTTGTGTTAGAGTTGTGCCAAACCCAGTGCTTGGCTCTCATCTCAGTTTTTGAAAAATTCTGCCCATCCACCCCAAAACAGCTCTCAGTACAGATCCTGAAGACATTGCATGTTTTTTATTCAGTCCAGGTCTTGAAGAATGCACTTAGGATTTGCGTGGAAGAGGACTCGTTCAAAACTGAGACAGAAATTTGGAGTTAAGATGAATAAAAGCTACTAATGCCAGCAACACTATGACTCTGTCCTTGAAGACTTGGAGGCACATATGCATCTGCCTGTCCTGAGGCCCTGAGAACACAACTATTGCAGGATGATGTTATCAGGCCAGTGATTTAATAAAAAAATGCCTTTGAAGCAAGTTGCAGAACTAGAACTGATCATGTTACTGAGCTACTTTTGTAAATTCTCCAGAAAGGACAGAAAATAGGTTGGTTATAACAGCTAAAAGGTCTCAGTATCTCGGCTTCCACCCAGCCTAGGACTGAGGTGAAGCTGTGTTTGCTCAGTAGCCACACACTTCTCAGCAAGAAGCAGGAAGCCCTCTCAGCATGATACAAAGATGCAAAGAGCCGCAGTGGAAAGCAGACTTCTCCCAGCCTCGCCACCAGCATGTTTTACCTCCATCGGTGATGTGGATAGAGTGGACAGTCGCAGAAGAGGAGAGAAGGAGCTTCCTGCCATTACTGATTTCAACACGGTGCTCTTCATTGTGGCCTGGGTTCCAGTTTTCTAACTCAGGATCTCTGTCAGGACATGTGACAGCTGCTTCTGTTGGGTAGAGATGCAGAGAGAAGACAATCACCGTTTGTTTGGTGTGAGACGGAAAGCTCCGTATCTGGGCATCTTTACAGTATCATTCCCAGCACCCCCCCTTTGCTGGCTCTCTGGAACACAGCAATATCTCAGTGCAGCAGAGTGCATGTGGGTCACGACCAAAAGAAAACAAACAGCAGCTTAAGCTGTATGGTTTTCTGTTTTCTGGAAGCATGGAAAATCCCAATGCAAAGAAGCCTTGCAAGGGATGGGGTTTCTAGAAAACTATGAAGAAGGGGTTGTAACCGAGCCCTGGCTGCAGTGGCATTCAGCTCTGTTCATACCATCCAGACACAAAGCCTTTCACAAGCCCAGGGAAGGTGCTGATGAAAGAATAAAACAACTACTACCTTTAAAAATGCCCCCAAAGCACCTGTTTTATTTAATGTAAAGATGTTAAAATTTGTTTGCATTCTGTGTTTGCACTGGAGATGGAAAGTAAAAGAGCTCAAACTAACGTGAAAACACCAAACACCAAGGAATTACATGTCCATCTAGTAACAGAGCAACAGGAATCTCACAAGAGAGTGTGTGCGGGTTTGTGAGCTTTTCCAGGCAGAAGTAATAAGGATTCGTTCACTTTGGGGTCACACATCACCAGTCTCCACACACAAATTTGATGACGGGCTGCCATGACATGTTAGTCTAAACAGCTCTCATACCAAATCCAAGAGACTCCGGTTGTAAGTATTAATTTAAGGTAAAATATTTCCCAGGAACACATCAGTCTGTTTGTGAGCCTTATGTCTTACTCTAATCAACAAAACTGCAATGAGAGTCTCACGTGTGATGCACATTTTCTGAGGGTAGAACCCTTCCTAATCCTACGAAGCTGTCTGTGGAAGTTTGAACAATGAGCCCTTTGCCTTTGGAAATGGCTGGGAGTTCTCACCAGCTTTCTGATTTTTATCCTTTAAAACAAAAGCACAATAGAGAAAACTATAGGATCCACAAATCATTGATGATAGACATGGGATAAACACCTTGACCTCAGCAGGGTTATGTCTCTGGCACTTTAGTAAAGTTGGGTGGGTTTTGCGTCACAGATACTGATGCATTCACTTATTGGAAAGGACAGTGATGTGAATCCATGCAAGGAAACATTCCCTGGTGCTAGTGTAGTTAACAGCCAGTTGATTTTTTGCTGCCACTCTACTTCAAGGATGTCTGTAATTCCACAGAAACAGAACCAAAATCTGTCCATCTGCATTCAGTTTCCTCTCACATTCCTCCACCAGCTTCATGTCTTAAGAAAACAATAGAATTGGACCAGCCATGGCCTGAATGTCTCCAGAGCCCCATTAAACACCATCTATTCAAGGTAAGTAAGCAATGTTTTATGTGGGCTACATATGCCTTGGCTCTCTGCAAACTTTTTCCATACACATTAAGAAATTAAATCAGAGAGGGCCAATAATCTGCCAGGTAGCAAGTCAGATACTGATAAACATCCAGGACCTGATTTTGATACCACTTGTGCCAGCTGGAAGCTAAAAGTGTATCAGTAATGTCAGGAGCACTTTTCCAATTTACAGTAACTGAGAAAAATAAGGTATTTCTGGGTTCCTACCAGAAGACACACAGAATTAATAAAAGTTAGAAAAGACAAATATTTCAGACAGGAAATGGGGCTTGCATTGTAAGTAGATGTTCAAATATAACTATAATACACAATGACAATAAAATTAAAAAAAAAAGTAAAAAAAAAAAAAAAAAAAAAAAAAAAAAAAAAAAAAAAAAAAAAAAAAAAGAAAAGCTATTTTTCCCTGGGAATAAGGATAATAGAAAAATTTGCTCATGATGAGAAGTGTTATAAAACCAAAAGAATAAATTCAAATGTGGAGGTATAATTTATCAGCTAGATGATGTGGACAGGACAAAAACTTGTTCTTTTTTTCCATTTACTGATTATGCTAGTATCCAAAGATGGCTTGTGCCCCCAAATTCGTTATTTTGAAACAGAGAGGTAGACAGTGAAGCCTAAGGGGAAATTAAGAGGAATTTATGCTGATGTTTGGGAGGACAATCAGCAAAAGTCAACACAACTCAGAACAAAGGACCTAAATTCCCAATTTCATTAACCAATTTGTACCAGGAGCTGTGCACATCACCCACATCTGCTGCGCCAAGGACACCGTCAGACTGAGCATCTTCTGCCAGCTGGTCCAGTTACCTTGACAGCTTGATTATTACTCTCATTGTCATTTTTTAAATAAAAGTGCAAATTCTACCCAGCATGAGGAATTAACTGAATGTTTGCTTCTTGACCAAAAGGGCCTGAGGATGACAATGAAAGGTTTCTTCATGCAGCTGCAGTGTTTGGGGCAAGACATATGGTCTCTTTGTTTTAAACAAATACAAACCTCCAAATTAGCTGTATATAGAATATGTAAATCAAGCTCCCCTTTTCCCCTTCCCCTCAACTGCTTTGTAACAGAACTACTTGGAAGAGAAAAATCCCAAGGGACAGGGATGTCCCACCCACATCCAGCTTGGGCAACACAGCAAAACGTTCGGCTTCACCTCCCTCAGCCACAGCTATTAGGACCTGAGGTTTCCTTTGTTATTTCTTTGTGGCAGTTTGTGGCATTTGGTTTAAGAATGTGTGGCAGAGTCCGAGGGATTTCTGAGGGTACTTTCACCTGCTCAAAAATTTCTGTCTTTGCCACTCCTGCTGCCCTTGGCTGGGAATATTGGCCCATCAGAAAACTGCTTTTCTCCTGAGTTTTCTCACTCTGTCCTTGACTCTTCTTATAAAAAGAAGAGCGAAAAGCTGATCAATCCAAACCTATTAAAAATAACATTAAAAACCATACCCTTTTTCCCCATGGCAAGAAAACTTACCTGTGCGTACTGAAGAGATTACAAACAGAAAATAAATGAACTTTCCAGCCAGGTACTTGGAGGTAGGTAGAGCCATTGTTCAGGATTTTCAGTTCTCTGGGTGGATACCTGTGAAAAAAAAGAATATCAAGGAAATTACACTTTTTGTTTGTTTGCTTTCCAGCCCATTCACTGCACAAAATAATAAAAAAAGGAGGTTATATCCAGCTGTATGCCAGATCACATCCACTCCCATTCAGCTTGATGGCTGAGAACACCTTTGCACTGCTCTGGGACCAGCCTGAATAGAGCAAGAAGCCATGGGCAGCTCCTCACCCTTTGTTTGGTTTAGGATAAACCCACTCGGGAATCCAAATAGACACTCAGAAAGCAGCCACCAGCTGTAACCAAAAACGCCCCAGGAATGTGGTATAAACACATCCAGTGTCAGGACTCTCTAGGGCTGCATATTCACATGTGCTAAAAAGTAATGAAACACAACAGAGGAGGCGTTTGCAGAGTGACAGATTTTCGCGAAGGAACCTTTCGGCGGCACCTCTCTCCTTCCCCCCCCGAACTACCCACACATTTTTAGCAATGGTGTTTTGTGTACCCCGGAGATAAACCGTACTCACACTTCCAACCCGAAGCCTGAAGTTTCTTAGATTTCAGATCTAAGAAAATATTGTCTGTTTAGTGTGCCAGCTCAGAATTTTCTTGCAAAACCAAAAGCTTCTTTTGAAACCAGTCTACCTAATGTTGTTTTTGTTTCTTCCATAGCCAACCCCCAGCAAAAACAAACAAGCAGTGTCATGAAAGTCAAAGTTAGAATTAATGTGATTCTCTCTGGTCTCCAGTGATTGATTCTGCAGCTCTGTCTCAGGCTCATGACAATTTATTGACATGTGTATTCACAGGGAGGCAAGGACACCCACTTCTGTATTCATAAGGCACTGTTTAAAATTCACATGTAGTCCTTGGAGCCTTTAGGTTTTATCATATAAGCCAGTGCCTGAGGAATATCAAAGACGCTTGTTTGTAACTGTCATGTCACATCCCACTGATGAAACAGGATAAATGTATGTATCACTCCGCTTAGTTTGACGCAAAAATAAGCATAGAAAACAAATTCCAGGGTGCCCCAATTTCTTTAGGGCAAAAAACACATGTTATTTTTCATGTCACTTGTTAATAGGAGCTAAGCAAAAACAAAACAAAACAAAACCACTTGAGAAAATGACATGGAAGAAGCCAGGATTTCGTTGAGCAAATTTTGCAGTGTATGTATGCAAAACACGTCTGTACTTTTCGTAAAGGTGATACAGATCAAAGTGCAATGATAGGTTCAAACCACATGTAATTCAGTGATTGTATTAAAAATAGCATTAGAACCAGATTTTACAGGAAATATTTCAGCAGGGAAATGTCTGTTTGCTTTGGTATAGTGTATTTGACAGCCACGAGCTCTGGAAACGGCGGAGGCTCAGGACTTAGTACAGTCTATCAGGTGCTGAAATACTGCTACAGAGCAGTAGAAGAGAGGAATGCACTTAGCAACGCTATAACTTTGAATGATATACATTATCAGAGAGCAATGCTGTCGCCATGGAATTTGTGCCAGAACCAGGCTGCACGTGTCTGACATTTTAACAGCATTAGCCATCAACGTTTGATAAGCCAGAGCCCTTTTAAAGAAACATTATTAGAGGTATGCCCAAAGTACAGCAGTCACCATTAAAATGTCAAGATTTATTAGTGATTATTACACAGCCTGGTCTGCAAACCCAGTCACTGGGTTCTGCTTTAACGACAGAGGAAGAACTAAACAAGAGGTAATACCACAGAATGGTCATTGCAGATAAACAGTGTTTCTTAGAGCATAGACACAACCGTATGCTAGTGCTGCATAAAGCCAGATTCCAACTGGTAAGGTTTCTGTCATAAAATACATTCAGATGATATAAGAGTTCACAGGAATAAAAAGAAGGGATCGATTATTTTGGCAGTGATTTGCTCTCCTCTTATTTCATAGGTAGCAAAGAAATGTAAATGTCTTTGTTCTGGCCCATTACAAGTTCAAAGGAATGCCTCTGCTCTGTCCAGCTCACGAACTTGCTTCTGACACAAACCTGTGGCAAACTGGTAGGAAACTAGTTCAAGAAATTCCTCAGCCTTTGCTTTCTTTAGAGCCAAGAACAGCACAGCACTTACCATCAGGTTGTGCAAAATGGCTTCTGGTTTTATATCCCCAGTTGCTCACCAGGGACAGCTTCTGCATCCATCTTCATCAGCAGAGATCAAAACAAGCAATCAGACACTGGAAAAAAGTGCCATTTTTGGAGGTATCAGCTGTGTGCCAAGGCTCCGATGTTTTCGCAGTGTCTGATCTGCCACAGTCCAAAGAATATCCTGCTTATTTTGTGACTGAGGTAGGGTGTTTGATTCGGCTCGCAGCGAGCCCAAGTTCATTGCAATGTTAGTATTAACTGGCACTTGGGTTGGAAAGGCTGAGAGCCAAGAGGACCAAGAGGATCCGACTCCTCTGATTCAGCTCTGACTAACACATGGCCGGAAAAATGCTGCTCGGGGGATAATCTCAGGAATTTTCCTTCCAAACCTCTCAATTAAGCATGTTTCCCAAAACATTAGGCACAAGCAGCGACAAGTTTGATTTTGTTGTTCGGTATAGGAGGAGGAAGAGATAGTGACTCTCCTCATTACTGCCTGCTGCTGGAGCGGGCTCAGGAGCAGCTGCCTCCTGCCAGCCGGCGCTTCCTTAGCTCAGCGCTCGGAGCCGCGTGGGGATACAGCAACACGCTGCATCCCGCTTGAACAGGCGCCACGTGGCTGACTCCAGCTCTGATGTAACCACCAATGTCAACAAATCTCTCCCTCTGCAGATTCGGGCACTCTGAGAGCATAAGGGCCATACAAGTGTCCGCCTAAGCCTATCATCTCCAGCGTTCCTCAAATACCATCTGCGACTTCTCTCTTGGGTGAGAAAAGCATTTATATCTAGCCATTAAAAGCTGCCTGGCAATGGCAAAGTGGGACTCACATCCCTGGATCTGGCAAGGCAGACTCTCTGAAGTGATTCCCAGCTGCTGAATCTTTCCAAAAAGTGAACAATAGCAGCAGACAATGCTAAAAGTAGATGCAGGAAACCATTAGTCTTCAGCTGGCTGCTACTGCAGGTGTCAGCAGTGATACTGTACTAGAAAGCACACTGCAGAGAGGAATCCCTATCCACTGCCCTCCCTGCGATTTCAGTGCTGGAGGCAACACACAGCAGACAATCCTGAGAACAAAACAGTCAAGAAATGCTCCAAGGAAGCTGCATTGTCACAGGCATCGTGGTGGGGTCACAACAGACATCCTGAATCCCAGGGTCAGAGCAGAGCTTTCTGGAATGGTACCACCAGTCATTCAGAAACACACACCAGGCTCCCACCTTGACTTGCCACCTGGCACAACTCTGGGCCAACCACCTGACAACAAAATTTTTAGAAGTAACTCCCAATATTGAGTGTTTTAAAGTGCTTTTTAAGGCTGGCTTGACACTCTTTGGAGGTTGTTACTTCAGCATCTACTGAAGATGAGCTCCTTTTAGTGTGTCAAGCAGGGCATAGTGGGAGCATTAACAATCCATAACAAACATGACAAGGACAGGAAAAAAAAAAACAGCAGCTGCTTGGTCTCCCCTGAAAAAGATATCAAACAGAGGCAAGAAACTGTGAGGCTCTTGCTGCTGCTGCCAAGCAAGAGAGACCACTGACCTGCATGAGAGCAAAGCAGGGATCCAGTGCCATCCCCAGAGAAAAGTAGGAAAAGCTCACAGGGAAAGGTGCCTTTTAGCCTGATGGGGAGTGAACTCTCAGCAGATACTAATTTGCACAGCTGCTTGAGATGACCTGTGAGTAAAATCTGTGTTCCCCCAGGATCACCTGTGCAAGGTGAAATGCTGTGGGAGACCCTGATGGGTCAGTGCCAGGGCCATGGTGCCCCCCCAGGGGCCAAACCTGAACCCTCTCACAGCCATTGCTGATGCTGAGGGTGCAGTGATTTGATAGCTAGGTCTGAAGCCTTGCTGCATGTTTCCTCATGCATATGCAAGGATACTAACATCGATTTGGAAGCTGATCCTGAGAGAGGGAGGAGCTGTTTAATTAGCACCTCTGCTCCCTTTTTGCTGACATTGCGGGGTCCTCTTGCCCTGCTCGTGGAATTTTGCATTTTAGCCCCAGCTGGGAAGATAAATTTGAGGTGCACATTTGCCTTTCTGATCCGAGGACATGTCAGCACTTGCTACAATGACATTCCTGTGCAGGGGGAGCTTTTGCACACCCAGCCAGAGGCACAGCTAAAACCTGCAGAAAATAAACACACACATTTCTGGGGGTCACTAATGAAAATGCTTTTCAGTCCCAACCCGTGGCATCAGTGTAGCTGCCTCTGCTCCACATCTTGCTCTTATGCTTGCCACCCACACATCAGCTGCTCGTTTTTACTAGCAAGAAGAGGAGGATTAAACTCAGGAACAGACTTTAATTCTCAGTGAATCAATACTGGAGTCAAAAGCAGCACTCTGACTGTTTTTCCAGTGAACCTTGGTTTCTTTACAAATTCATCTAATGTCTTTCCCAACAAGAAAGAAGGTTCTGCTCATATATTCTGTTTATAAATATCACTGTAAATTCCTTGATTCCTGATGCCCATAAAAATAGATTCTGAATGAGAAGCAGGAGATATAGGAAATTTTTACAATCAATACATTAAAGAAAGCTAAGGTGTTTGCTAATTTGTTGCAACATTGGCACACTATTTTGAGACAGAAATAAAAGGGGGGGGAAGCAACCCCCCCTTTTTTTTTTTCTTTTTTTTTTGCAGAGGCTTACAGACCTTGAAAAGGAAATTTCGGCTTCACTAAAACAGAATCGTTTGCAATTCACATCACTCCACCCATCTGAGGCTGACTGACTGTCTACCAGTTTCTCAAGCTTTCGAAGTGCTCAGAATTTCAGCATTTCACTGAACTAAACTCTCATCCACTGCATGAAGTTTTTAAAGCAGCAAAGTGTTGGGAAGCTGAGCCCTGCTTGCTGAGGTTCAGGGTGCACTGACTCTGCTGTGCCTGCTGACAGACATTCAGTGAATAGCCAAGCTCGTGCTTCCTGGGAGCACCAGACCTAGCGTGTTCCCACTGCAGAAATACTCTGGGGATAACCAGAACAGCTGTATACCCCGAATGCCTGAGATGTGTTGAACCTGCCTGGATCAGCTGCAAGTCCACGAGGACAGGCACAGTCCGTATGGACTCCAGCACGAGAGTGGGGATCCTCCCACTCAGGAAATCCCCAGGAGGAATTCGGCAGCTTCCCACTGACACAATGCCCGTGCAACACTTACCCCACAGCTTCACACACACAGGCTCCTGGTGCATGCCAAGTTAGCAGCAGCCTTTGAAAACATCGTCTTGAATGTGATGTCCCAAGGGTCCCTGGAGGAATTGTACCCTCTGCAGAGCGTCCCTGGTTTGAAGGCTTTTTTCCCTCCCAGGTAAGGAAAGTGTGTGCAGTGGCTGAAGAGGATCACAGCATCCTGAATCCTCTTCAAACTGCTGCTTTTAACTACCCAAATAACTGCATCAGGATGTAAATATTTTTCTTTTTGCTTTTGTGGTACTTCACTGTTTGCATCTGGCTCGCCACGACTCCACGCCTTCCTCTCCAGGACATTTGCCATTTGCTCTCCTTCTGGGGCGGGAGGAGGAATAGAAATTTTTCAGAGGTTTAGGCACATTCCTCTCCTTCCTTCACCAGGCTCTTCCTTTGCCAATTGTTTAGTCTCAGCCTGGGGTTAGAACTCTGCAAAGTTTTATTGGGATCCAGGGTCTGGACGTGTCACAGATTATCAAATAAATCTCCAAGAAGCTAAAAGCTTGCTCTGTAAGTACTTGTTCCAATGCTGGGCTTATGCTCACGAGCCAAAAACATCTTGCTTTTCTTCCCCTGTACAGCCTCAGAAATCATAACAATTAGGTACCAATAGGAACTCAAAAGGACTTCAGGGAGCTCCTCAGAGTGTCAGTCCCAGCTGCTCAGGCTATTGTACCAATCCTCATCCCCAGGATGTCCTGTGCATCACACTTTGTCTTACCTGTACTGAGTAGTATCAGTGATTTCTTCACACTTTCTAGCAAGCCACGACCTCTCCCCTGGCCAAACCTGAGTCGCACCTCTCCTGCCTGGTGTAGGGTTGGAGCCACAGTCTCCTTCACTGCCCACAAACCTTTCAGATGTCCTCTCACCCCATGTCCAAGGACCACGGGTGGTTTGTGTCTGGAGGAGTCAAGCATCCCAGCCAAGGCGGTCAGTCTCCACTCAGAACACAAAATCAGCTGGCTGGTGCGTGGATGCCAGAGCAACTAACTCACCCGGGAGCAAAAGTCTGGCCAACAAAACACTAACCTTTCCCTGTAGCAACTTGTTTGGCCATTTCTGAGAATTCCAAAGAAACAACGGGACGTTAATTACAAAGCTGTTACACCTACCTGTTTGAGTAAGCCATGAGAAGAAGACAGAGATAGTCTGAAATCGCCTGTCCCTTCACTGCTGTCACCAAGTAATGTCATGTTTAAACCAAAGTGAGTCTGTCACCATTTTGGGATAACTGTGCTTAACTGTAGTCAGTGAGATCATCAGTTGTTTCTCACTTGGCATGCAAAGCTCTGGTTTTGTCTTTACTTCAACCAACAGCACATAAAAAAGCAAAGAGAATTAGCCACTCCTGCTGGTGTTTCCCTCAATGGGAGCAGAAAGTCAATACAAGTATTGCCTGAAAGGAAAACAAGACTTTACCCTAAGCAGCTCATACTTCATAGGTCTTTAATTAAATGTTCACATCAGTTGGACAAACATCATTTCACTAGTCATTAGCTTCAGACAGAAACATATTTATAACTCCTTGTTGCATCCTGTGCATCCAGTTCAATTAAAAAACACTGTTGTAAGATCACTGCACACTGACCAAGCAAGTTGTTGAGTTCAGATAAGATACCATGGCAGATGGACACTTTGTTTTTTTTAAAAGCAGACATTAATGGAGCAAAAACAGGACTGAAGGGAGAAATTCCCTACCTCTGCTGAAGTTCATCTGTTTCCCTGGATATTGTTAAAATTTCCACACCAAATTCCATTTCCAGTCCTGGTGTTACCGGAAAACAGGCTCTTTAAAACTTACCTTTTGACACCAAATATATTGAAATATGTCACAGACATATTGAAACACTTCTCCCCCCTCAAGGTGCTCCTGTTCTGCCCTGTGATGCACCGGTTTTGGAATAAAGGTCTACCACAGAGAATGAGAATACATTTATTAGTTATAAAGTATACAGGTGAACACCATTGGTTTGGTACATTCTTGTAAGGACAGGAGCAGGTTTTGGTGAGGGTGGTGGGCTCTGCCTGGCTGGTGCTCCCCAGCAGTGCTAACCCCGGGGTGCCACAGCCTTTGCAGGGGTGTGCTCTGAGCGGCTCTGAGGAAAAGCAAACCTTAGTGACTTATCAGCATCAGCTGGACATTGATACTCTTTCAGCTTCAAAGGAACATAATGCTGTAGAGAAGCAGCTTTCTGATAACCAGCATGATTAAGGACTTTAATCCAGGAGGGCTTGGCTTGTCCTTTATAGCCAAGCATGGCAAAACTCCCTGAAAAACAGACACAAAGAGAGTGACCCTCTGGGTGTGTCAGTTCATTTAGCAGCAGTACAGCACGGGCTCTCTCCACACATCATGGAAGCATTTTAGCCCTTCTTTTTTTCCTTGGATTAATATATTGGAACATTTAGGAGAGAGAAAGGGTGATAAAAGAGGAAATGAGCCTCGCTGAAGCCGTAACATCACTGCATCACAGATCTGCAGATATTTCAACAGGCTAAACTAGGTACCCAGATGTCAGTTGCCAGGAATATTGTTTCACTCTTTATTTTTAAGTAAGACTGGTACTTTTTTTCATGTTTGACTACCTGAAAATGGTTAGGCACTTTGAATCCTTCTTTTATTAGTGTACATCATTTCTTCCTGTTATACCTAAACTATCCCCCATGTCGACTCTGCTCTGGTCCTCTGCTGTCCCAAAGTACAAAGGCATTATGTATTCTTCCATTTTAATAATAATGTCTTGTGTTTATATTATGCTTTTCATTGCAAAGACTCCCAAGGCTATTTGCAGCTGGTTGGATCGAGACTATTCCCGTAAACACTTCTAATTTAAATAAGATTTTGCAAAACCAGGAAACAAGACCCTAAATCCTGATCCCACTGGGGTCAAGAGGGGTTTTTTTGCATTATCCCTGGCAGAAGCAATGTGCACTTGGGAGAAATGCTCCAGCCTGCCCTGAAACACAACCCCCCCCAGTGAGGAGCAGTCCCGGAGCTGTGAAGTCAAATAGTGCACATACCTGAACCAGCAGGAGGAAGCTCATGGAGCAGAACATAATTACCCAGACTGGAAATCAGGGCAGACACATGGGTGAACACCCTTGCCCTTAGGAAAAGCAAAACAGGGGTGGCTTGTGAACAGCCAGCAGCAGCTTAGTCCCACTGCCAGTCACCAGCATCCCATCGAGGTGGCAGGGCAAGAATGTGGCCACCAGCCAGCATGTCCTGGGAGGGTGCTGGCCCTGCCTGCTGTTTTTTGTGCCCCAGGAGCAGTTGGGGCTGGAGGATGAACCAAGCACCCAAAATAGCCAAAGTGAGTGGCACAGATGGTTCAAGGGACCAAGTCTGGGGGAAAAAAAAAAAAAAAAAAAAAAGATTCCTTTTTAATCAAAAAATTCCTTTCAGAAGTATTCAGGGCTTTGATGAAAGAATGAAACAATGAAGTTTCAGGACAAAAACAAAACAAAAAAAACCTCAAACTTTTGCTTTTCAAAGGATAAAACAAGAAACAGCTTCTTGGGAATCAAAACAGGCACCGAAGTGAAATCACTGCCTTTCTTGTAAAGACCGTGCTATCCTCCCCTGGAACGGTCACAGTGATGAGCTTTGAAACTTTGACCAGAAATTTATATAAATTTCAGTAAAGCAGTGGGGAAAAAAAATCCCCAAACTCCAAAGAAAAAAAAGAAGCTGGAAATACAGCCAATTTTCCATCTGATCTCTGTGTGAAGTCCTGAAATCTGAATCAAGCTGTCTGGCTGTTTTCTTATTGCTTTATCACTTACATTATTCATCCAAACCTGGACTCAATAGCCCCTAGTTTTCCAGGAGGAAACCCAGCATGGATTTCCTGGACCAAGGCTACCAATGTATTTCTTGCAGCAATCCAAGGTAAAATTGTAATAAGAACTTTTCCAAGCTGTTGATTTCACCTTCCTTCTGTCCAAAAAATAAATAGCTCCTATTTCACTGCAAGCTGTTTTCTTTTTCATCAACTTTTCAGGATATGCTTGTTTTTCCTCACAAAGCAGTAGAATTTTAGAGATGGAATCTTTGTCAAAAAAAATCTCCTTTCTTTTTTTTTTTCCTTAGGAAAACAAGTTCTCTTTAGGATGAAAAATTTGCAGCATGCAACTTCTTACAGGTGAAGTAGGGTGAACCCCCTGAAATAACTATGCTACTTCTCACTGTCCCTAAGCCAAGAGGATTTTACTAGGTTACACTGGCATATTGTGGCAGGAAATATATTGACAAGCACTGTGCAGATGTGTATACATTTTTGATTGGGAAACACCAGAATTACTGGTGTGCTTCCCAGCCCAATAAAAAGCAAAACAAACATGGAAAGCAATAAAACGCAGAAGAAATATGATGGAATAAATATATTTACCTCCCTTGTGGAAGACAATAGGCTTTGCTGAACCTAACCTGGTAAAAACAGACATTTCAGAGCTGCCCACCACGTCTGTGACACTTCTAGAGCACACAAGAACAAGTGATCTGAAAAACAGGACAGTAATTACAGCATGATTCCAAAATATTGCTTTCATTAAGAATCTTCAATACCTTTAAGATCCTATTCTGAAAAGTACGTAAGAGCTTGCTTTACTTTAAGAACATTTTTAAATCCCTTTGATTTCAATCACATGTAAGCTTTCACAAGTTTAAGCCTCTATTTAAATGTTCCTAAATTAAACTTGTTCTTCAATGGAATCAAAACAAGCACAAATGACTGTAAGTGTATCCATCCCTTATGGGAGAGGGACACTCAGTTGCTGTGCAGTCCTGAGACTCTGAAACCATCTTCATCCTGGCTCTGATTTTCAGTCAAGCTTCAGCCTGTCTCTGGTCCTCAGAGATGTGCTTTCAGCCCCCAGTGAGCTGTACCTGCAGTGAATTACAGGCACAACTGCTTGCATTTAGCTGAATGCCTAGGCTTGCAAAAATACTCATCCTACCAGAAAAACAAACCAAATGTACAGACATCACATGGATATATGTCACTTCGTGCACATCCGATACATGTACATACTCATGCACATAAATACAGATGTAATAACTCTGGGATGTTTAAATCGTTGGTCATAAACTGCTCAGAAATGTCTTGGACTGAAAGTCTGTTTTTTGGTTATTTGACCTGCTTCTACCAGCAGCCAAGAATTTATCTACCAATCTCTGTTGTTCCCTGTTTGTGTGGCGACACATAAAACCACAGGGAATGTGGGACAGACACAAACAGAGGTGATCCAGACCATTGCCAGGACACACGCGAGGCAGGAGAGCCAGCAGGCAGGCAGGTCTGGTCACTGGCTTACCCAAGAAAAGTCCCACTGGAAAATCTGGCACACCTATGATTTTCATCTGCCACGAGAGGCAAAAACAATCAGTAAGAGTAAACAGAAATTGACTGGTTTCCGAAATGGAAAACTGAATCATTGGCTGCCAGGAAATGGCTGGACACTGGGATGGGTGTGCAGGATTGCAAGTGTCATTGCAAGGACCTTATCTACTCCATAATGGAAAATGAGTGGTTTATTTAGAAAAAAATTGCTAGTTTTCCAGAAAACCTGTTCCTGACTGCTCTAACCTGTACAATCCTGGGAGAGAGATGCTGCTTCTCTTATTATCTGGCTGATATTTCGGATTTGTACATGTTTAATCTGTGCCAGATTTCTTCAGAGAACAGGTTTGGTTATGAAAGTAGGTCGTTTTCCTTTCTTTATCTGTCAGCCACAGGTTGCTACATGAACTGGGCTCTCAGCAGTTTACTTACCTCTCTTTTATGGATGTGTGAACGTAATCAGTTATTGCACGGGCAGCGTTTTCACTGGTAACTGTGTCAAAGTGCCATCTACTTACAACTGCTCCTGAACATGCATCCAGCACCAGGAAGAATATCCCACTGCTATTGAACAGGAACACTGTACCATTTATCTGTAACAAAAAAACAGAGGTAGGTTTTATGGAGGCACGCTGGGGAGCCTCAGATTGTGATCCTGCTCCTCCGTAAGGGAATTGCAAGCAAGAAAAATATCTACATTTTAAAAATACCTATAATTTTAAAATGTATCATTAGTACAGATGAAGTGATCTCATGGATAGTTGGTCAGTGGCAGGAGGAAGCAAAACCCTTAGTTCTCAAAGGGGTACAAAAACATGAGAAATGAGGTCATCAGCATCTTTAGTGGATTAGGAAGATACATTTGGGAAGCCAAGAATCCCAAGAGTAAAATGCTTAGTTCAGCCTTAATACAGTTTCCTTTCATGTGGGGGAAATTACTGTCACTTGGCAAAGTGGATTTGACCACAGAGCAAGAGAGAGGTGCTGAGACAGCAGATGGGGGAATAGAAGTAACACATGCACTTTGTTGTTTTCTCTGAAAATTTAAATATCAAAACCAAACTGTTCCTTCTTGGTAGGGCTGTATCAACGCCTCAAAAAACTTGTAGCAGAAACGGCTCCTACTCTTCTTCTTTCCCACAGCAAGAGCTCCTTCCCCAAGTTACGCTTCTCAAGACATGCCACAGTATTTACCTTTAGAAAGCCAAAAACTCTTTGAGGTAGCTGGCTCTGGTGCATCCCCCCAGCACCCTGAGGGACAGCTAATCCTGAGACAACACAACCTCCACCAAGGAGAGCAACAGTGTACCGAGGTCAGAATGAACCCAGGATACACAAGAATTCCAAAGCCCACACAGCATCAGGGAGCTCAGAGGCATCCCATCAATCTGAGACATGAATGTCTCCAGAGAATATAGGGCCAGACTGAATGAGGGAGCCAAGTGTTAAAAAGTGGCTTCTGCAAGATGTCAGAGGATGCTGAACGCAATAGGGGGTCAAGGGTAAGGAAACATGAATCTCCAGGCCATGGGTGGCCAGAGAGGAGTGAAGAGGAGCAAAGACAGACAAAGTCTTTTGCCTGCCCTGGCTGTCTGACACTCCTAAGTGTGGGAAGTGTGACAAAGTCTGGGTGCACACGCAGCAGAGAGCAACCACCACTGCAAACAGACCCAAGAGAGAGCCTCTGCCAAAGAAACAGCTCTGATGTGTGTCCTGTCCCACATCCACGTGCTACAGACCCCCAGAGGAGACAACACACGGGTCGCCATGGCCCCACGGACTGGGGCAGGGCTCATCACACTCGGCTCACTCAGCCTGTGGGAAAGCTTGGATCAGAAATTTAAAACATTTCTGACCTTTGCATCTCATTCAGCAAAACAAGAACAAAGCATGTACTTCTTTATTTCCAAATTCTCTGAACATTTTAAGATTCAGGACAAGAATCCTCCTTTAGACAGTAATCTTTACCATTTGCCTAGCCCAGACTTTACTGCAGCTAGGAGTGCATGTGTTAGATATAAAACTTCCTTAGGAAAACAGCACTTTGCATTAAAGCCTTAAAAAAGGCAAAGAAGCTTTGAGGACACTACACCCATCCCATGAGTGCTGCACACACAGAGGTATCTGTGCTTCACCACAGGTGAGGGTGCTGCCTCCAGTAACACCTGCTTGCTAATGGTTTTGAATAAATTTTTGATGATGCAGCCAGTGCACTGGCAAGAAACCTTGGCTGCTCAGACTTCTTGAGGATGCTGTACCAGCTCTGCTTGGCATTTGTTAGCATTGATTAGAACTCAGTAGCACACAGGCATGTAAGCCTGGACAGTGTTCTTGCAAGAATGATTCCAATCACCCTCCACTGTCTAGACAGATATAAAAGGCATGTGCAGGGACAATCTGACAGCTCCAAACTGCTTCAGTAGTGAAATGCAGTTATTTTTATCTTTTAGTGCAATAGCAGCAGAGAAAATCAGGAAAACAAACTTGTTTTTTCCCCCCACATCCTTTGTAAACAGTGACTTCTGCTTTTTCCTCCCCTTCTTCTACATTAGAGTGGTGGTGTTAATTCTTTTTCTGAGATGATAAAAGGCCTTTTTTTCCCTTAAAGGCTCAAATCCTCATCTGAATAGAATAGGAACTCCCAGTGACTTTAATGGAGTTAATTGTAAGGGAGAACAATGCACTTGCTTCTTCCAGGGGAACTTCCCATTTCCTTCTGCCAAGGCTCAGCAAGATTCTGCAGTAAATTTCCTTGGAGATAAAGTTTTTTCTGTTTAACCACTACTTAAAATGCAGTAAAACACAACATACCTTAATGAACGCAGATGTCAAGTGGTTTTGCGTGTCCACCCTGCCGAGAGATTGGATCTGGATCCTTATATACTCGACTGAGGGTGTGCTGGTGATGGCAACCTGCAATTACACCAGAGACAGAACCTTAAAGGTTGGCTTGCTAACTGGTTTTCATCAGCAAAATGACACCAGGTATCCATGCTTGTATATACATGATTACAAAACTTAAAGTCCTTTATTCACAGTTAAGTGCTCATTATCGAGACAGCGTTTATCAAAGGATTGTGGGAATGCTGGTTGGAAGAGACCTCTGATGGCGACTTTGCCACTAAGTAAGTTTAAAAGTTGAGTATGGTTTTCATATATTTTGCTTGAATATAAACTGAAGTGCAGGTCTGTAGGAGTCTGAAACAATTCTACAGGATTTAGAGTGGAATGAATTTACAGTAAACAAGGAGAAAAGCTGGCTCTAATTTTCCAGTTATTCCTGTTAACCAGAATTACTTCCCAGTTTGAAATACAGCAGCAATGCTGTACTTCTGAATTCAAAGCTACTTCGAAATAAGCCCTCCCAAGAGTCCTTTTGTTTAAGCATAAAAGAAAGAAAGGGGGGAAAAGGTGCCATGAATGTACATCCACGTGCTTCCAGCTGGGCAATTTCTTTGAGGCAAGCTTTGAGGCACAGCACAGAAAGCTGCAGCAATTCAGAGCAAACCCCTCCCCTTTGCACAGGTTACGTGATGCTGGGCAGATTCACATGTGGGAATTCCCTGCGGCTTCTCCTTATACGCTGTCAGAACAAATTGACCACGCGTGGGCTCACAGACATTGCACAACCTTCAGGGGCAGTTTCGTGCATCGTGGTGGTACCTGTGGGGCTCCACACGCCCTGCACAGCCCGGCTGGGCTCTGGGACACGGGGTGCTGGGCAGCCACTGGCCTCTCAGGGAAGGGGTTGGGGTCACAGCTCCAGGAGTCCCCCGGGCTCATGTGTGCCGTGATTTTGATCCGTTCACAGCCTTGCTGAGAGCAGTAACTGTGTCCTTCCCGAGCTGCGTGGGCTTGCAGGTGAACAAACAGGTACCTACAGATGGGAGCAAACAGAGGCATCAGACCCCCACTGTGGGCTTAGAGGACAAGCTGAGCAGAGACAGGACCTGCACATCCGTTGCCAAGTGGGTCCTTCAAGGATGCAGGTCGAGCTCCCCTCTCATACTGGTGTGACAAGACCTGCAGCGCTTGCAGCCCACATGCCCAAGCCTTCACCACGCAAGCAGCACGTGGGACAGACCCCCAAGCACTCCTGCTGCTTCTGGGGATGGTGGCATCCCACCAGAGAAGGAGCAGCAGCTCTGCATAGGCTGTTGTGCAGAAGGACACAGATTTGCTTGGAAATTATGAGCATTGGCCCTTCAGCTCACTTCATGGTAGAGCTCAGCCCTAGGCATGCATGACAGAAGCTCCAAGGCAGCCAGGCCTTCTGGCCTTTGGAGTTCATTTTTATTTCTAACTGTTCCAAGTATGTTTTCAGTCCTGCCCATGCTACAGTTCAGGCTGAAGAAATTACATATACAGCTCAGTTCCTATTTAGGATCAAAAAGATACATGAGCTTTGCATGGAATTTTCATTCTATTTCTTTTAAAACTAAATATTTGTTTCTTTTTGTCTGTGAAAAAGAATGAGTAAGATTGATTCCTTTCCAAGGATGTGGGGTTAAAAAAAGAAGGGGAAACATCCCACTCATTATGAAATAACGTCTAAAAAACAACAACAGGAAAAGAAAAATGCCAATCCTGTAACTTCTGTACTCTGACAGGCCAAAAAAACCACTGCTGAACTAAACAGAGAACCAAAATGCTGATACTGCCAGAATTTAGTTAGGTTAGACCCATCAATCTGCGTGTGCCAGGTCCAGATGGCTGCTGGCAGCTCATGGCTTTTCCCCCACAGACCCACACGTGTGACCATTTTCCCTGCTATTCAGTAGTAAACAACCTGTTTACAGATTTTGGGCAACTTTTTTTTTCTTTTTTTTAAGGAGGATTAATTAGCAATTTGGTGTTTCACAATTCCTGTGATGAGAGAGACCTGGCCATCAGCAAGGAGCCTGGTTAGCAAGGAAGGCATTCCGGGATTTGATTGCTCATGTGTTATGGTTGAATGAATAAATATATCCCATCTTATTTTCAAATCTGGCATTTGTGGATTGATTCCTGAAGTAGCTACTTAGTCAGGTGAAGCATCATGGGACTCATGGTTAAACCACAAAACACTTTTTTTCCTCCCTATTTTAGCTGACTGAGAAACACAGTTTCGCAATATGTTTTTTTTAACCAAAGGTGTCCTAAAGCCTTTCAGAGACAGTGTAAGATTTATAGGACCATCTTCATGCCTTTGTAAATGAGAGATATGCTGTGGCGCTCTCCTTTTTTCACAAAATCTGATTTTTAGAATGTGATTATTTTAGAAATCTCTCTTCATGGGGATATGCAGAAGTTGAAACTCCCCAAACTGTCTCAGTGTTGGAGCCAAAGCAGTTGCAAAAGGGCTCTTTCTCGTGGCCCTTTGGGGTACAACGAGTTCAAACAAATATTTACACCGTGCCCACACCTGCAGCAATCTAAACAGCAGGGATGCACAAGGTGTTCAGTTCAGCCAAGAAATCAGCCATTCTCTGGGCAGGAATGCAAATCACTGCTTAGATGCAGACATAGACCTGCCCCAGGTACTCCAGCCTGGAAATCCATTTTGACCTGAAATCAGTGAAGAGAGCATGCAGAGTGGACAGACCTGAATTTTAGCTATGAGAAAGAAGAAAGGAGGTGCTGGGGCTGGTAAGAGAAAGACCCCAGGGGCTTTCTGCCCACCCAGGGGCACAGCAGGGCTCACCCTGATGCTCTGTCGAAGTAGAAGAGCCGCTCATGAGCTCTGTTGAGAGCGATGGAAGGAGCAGCAAGGTAGTGCTGGACACTGTGCACCATCCCTGTCCGTCGCTGGTAGATATCTCCCACCACCTGGAAAACGGCTTCCCTGGGATAGCAGAGGGCAACACGCAGCCAGTCTCCTCTGTCGGCAGAAAGGGCAGACGGGGGGAAAGGGAAAAAATGCACTTCAGGGCTTGAGCACAAGAGAGATGGTCTGCAGCCAAAAGTACAGTCTTCAGGGGAAAACAAAGAAATGTCCTTTGAGGTTCTCTTTTTCTTTTAAAAAAACACAACAAATCCTCAAAGCCAAAGAAAATCAGATTTTTTTTTTTTTTTTTTTGCTTTGTCTGGAAACAACGGCTGCTTATTACGAAGGTCTGATCCAGGGACCCCGGCTGACCTCAGAGGACTTTGAGACAGGTGCCAGGATGGCTTAAAACCAGATATTTTCTCTTTCTTGCCCCATAAGGCTGAGGTACAATCAGTCACATACCCACTCGTGTCTCCTGAGGCAGCCGGGGCTTGTTTCATTCCATCCGGAGCTGCTGTGGGAGAGGGAACCAGCATCCAGCAGACATTTCACCGGGGGCACAGATTCAGGAATTAGAAAGTAATCTCCGACTTGAACCAGAGCCACAGTCTAAAGAGACCTGCTTCCTCCACTTTACAGTGAAGTTTATTATTATGTTTTCCATTAAAATCTCCCTCTCTGTGGCTCTTTTTTCAGTGTCAGTTTAGAATAACTAAGGGTAAAGTTAAATCACCTTTAAACTCTTGTTTACCCCAATTTTGACATGCACGTTTATAAAAAAATTGCCCCTGTGGCTTTCCTTCATCCTGTGATTCCCACTGTCACCCTCTTGCAGAGAAAAAACAGCTCCAAATTAGAAACCTTTGGTACAAGACTTAGAGCCAAAGATGCAGCTACAGTGCAATTCAGGTACTGATGGGAAGGATCTTCCACAAAAGATCCCAACATCCTTTCCTGTCTGTGAGATGCACTTGTGCTGTGCAAAGCAGAAAGCCACAAGAAGTTTACACTTAAAAAGAAAAACTGAATACCGAGATAATTAGCTTTTTTTTTTCCTCCTTCCTCCCCTCTGAAGTGGCTCAGCCTGTAACACCAGGACTCCTGAACCAGTACCGTGGTTTGCTTTCCTTATGTCACCAAAACCATCCAGGATTTAAATGTATTTTTTTAACTTTCTGGGTAAAATATGAGAATATAAATTTGGCTTAGAGAAAAACAAACACCACCTTCATTGTCTGTCTCTGCATCCTACACGCTTCCGTTTCTCCAAAGGCTTCCCTGAAGTGACCTGCCATCCATCCCTGACTGCAGAGCAATAAACAGGGGGAAACCACTTCAATTTGGTGAAATCTGGGAATCTGCATGCCTAGACCTCTGCTTTACACATGGAGAGCAATAAAGCAAAGCTATTTCACCCTTGTTCTGTTTTTTTCATTAAAACAAGACAAAGCTATCTACAGGATTGAAGAGGGGACAGGCTGTTCTAGGATAATAAATCAAAGCCACACAAAGACCCATCAGCTTAAGCCAGATACTGCCCTCTAGATTTTAACCAACTCCAGCTGTGTCATAACACAGGACAGCTTGAAAATGGATATATTTTCAGATGATCTGGTCTCTGACTAGAGGAAATGAAAGAAATGTACCAAAGCCATATCTGTGTAATATTTTTAGGATGGAGTCCTAAACATTTGGCTGTTTCATAAGGGTGATTTGCGTTGCGTTAGCACATTTCATCCCCTGAAGTCACCAAAAAGAGCTGGTCACTCCCCCAGATGCTGGGAACCAGCATTGGTGCTGTGCTACACTGACTGCCACCTCCCCAGGGAATGAGAAAGGCATTAGAAAACTACACTGGAGGGTGAAAGTGGGAAAAAAAGGCATGAAAAACCCACAGCTGTGACTGTCTTGAGTTGCCGGGCCATTTGGGAATAGGAGTGCTACAGTTGAGTATGCACATGAGCAGGCTGAGTGAAGTCCTGAAATAAATTACACCAGGATCGGAAAGATCAAACAAAAAGCACCTACTTTGGAATTTGTGGAGGAAGAGATGGAAATCAGTACATTCCCACAACAAAGGGCTTGGGAGAAGATGTGAGAAGAGAAGGCATTAGAAGTTATCCTCTGTCTAAATATAGGAAGGAATATGACGGTTGTTTTCTCTCTAATTTAGCAGTATTATAACAGCTTCCTATTTAGTTCTGCACTTCAGTTCTGTTTCTTCAGCTTGTACAAAACCCACCATAAAGCCTCCAAAATGCCTGGCTGTGTGGCTGAGCTGGGCTCCAGCACCTCCAGGAAATCAAAGCAAGAGATGTCAGCACAGCTGCTGTCGCTGTGCACATCATAGTCCCTGTGACTCTACCTTTGAGCTGGGCACTGGATGGGGGTGAGGGAGATGCCATTGCCAAAACTGAGGGAGAAATGCAGCCTCAGGCAAAGCAGTAATCAGGCGTGAGGCATCCTGGACATTTAGTCCAAAGTAAAACAGATGTGCATGTATCTCCCTCAGCCACTGCACTGGCCACCAAGGACCTACTGGCTGGTCTGAAGCACAGGAAACCTTCCTCTTTTTCAAGGTGGTCAATAACCTTGGTCAAAAACGTGGTCAAAACAAGGTGAGTTCTGTTTTATTTCTCTGCTTCAGCCTCTTGTTTCTGTATTATTTACCAGCTGCTACTCTGGGGTGAATATTTGTAGGCAGAATAAGAAAAATCTGAACCAGCCTAGCTGCTCGCAGTACCAGCACATGAGCTGTGAATGTCACAGGTGCCCAGAGGCTTGGGGACACACACTGCACTGGCAAGGAATGAAAGCACTGAATTCATAACAGATCCCAAATTATGAATTCAAAGTAATTTCAGAGCTCTGCCTGAAGGCTGGGGGAGCGTATGTAGCATTAGGTGCTCTTATGCTTAAAGACCAACACAAACAAAGGGGGAAACCTCACTTAAACACAAGGGTAGAAGTCAGACTTGATAAACAAAATGCCAATGTAGCAATACAGAGGACTTTTTTTTTTTTTTTGGGGGGGGGTGTCTTCAACTGTCATTCTTAGGAATTTCTTGTAAGAGAAACAAACTGAAATATATTCTCAGGTAGAATGTCTGACTTTCCAGTTTAAATGAAGGTCATATTAAAATGTGTAGAAAACTAACTTGAGCTATTTAACATATTTGCACCCCAAAGCTAAATGATTGTGTCATCAAGCTTTTTAAGTGAAAAAGTTAATTTCATTTTATAAATAAGTAACATTCTTCTTTCTTTTTTGCATTCTTGTTCTAAATCCAACATTTTTCTTTGTGTTTTGCTAAAAAAGAAAAAAAAAGGCATTTGAAGGAGAAAAACTATATATACACTAGCAAAAAGAGTTTAGTAGGTCCTAACAGTTTCAAACATCACTTGGAAAATCTTTGAGAATCTGCTGACACCGGCATGTATAAAACCTGACACTTCTGCTCCTCTGTCACTGTCATTCAACAATCCCCACAGTGCACTTCAGGCATTTTTACCAATGTCTTTAGCCTGCTTATTTTCTTTTGGAAATGGCTCTCTCTTTTTCAACAGGATATTGGCATTTGCAGTTCTGGCTCTTTCAGGTGAAGCAGAAAAACATCAGACAAAGTGTTAAAAAAGTATTTGTATGTTTGGGCAATGAGCAGGCTTCCTGGGATAAGCAAAAGCATAAAAAGGACAAGGGAAAGGCAAAAAAGCAGACAAGAGGTTTCCTGTTCTTGGACATGTGGTAGATACAGATCTGCACGTACACACATACATACCTCATTTACAACCCTCAGAACATCCCCCCCAGTTCAACCCCAAACTCTCAAAAGCAAAGACACTCAGAGAAACATGATCAAACAGGCAAAGGAGGGGAGACCTTTGTCAGTGGTGGGATGTAAAGTGAGTCATGTAACTTGGAGATGAGATTTGGCTGGAGTAAACACAGGGAAAGGGCATGTCTGCAGCTCTTACTGCCTGTGAGAGGATAAATAACACTTGTTCAACACTGTGAGCAATTCACAGCACTGGCTGCATCGGATGGAGTGTGAGTCCTGGGCAAATGGGTATCATCTAGGGCTGGGGTTTCTGGTTATGCTGGATGTCAACCCTGGCTGCATTTTAGCAAAGGGAACCTCTACACTGATGAATATTATTCTAGAAAACAGCCCCACCATGTTTACTGACTTGTTGTGTGACGTAGCTGATGACCATGGAAGTGCACGGTCCAAATCCTGATCTCAATGATGAAAATCTGGGGTAAGCTAATGAGGGAAGGCCATAGATTACAACTAAAAATTACTTTTTTTTTTTTTCCTTGGGCTTGAAAAAACAAGAGAGTTCTATCCAGTGAGTCAGTCTCCCCCAACTGTTATTACTCCTATTTAAAAACAAGCCCTCTGACATTTTGTCATCTACGTGAGCTGAACTTTCAAAGGGAGGGGGAGAACCAGGAATTTAAAACTTCCCTGTTCACAATATGGGAACAAAGCAGAAATCCTCACATACTCCTTTGATGAGTTTGTCTCTCACAAGCTGAACTTTAAACTTCAAAGGACAAAAAGAAAGCATAGCCACCATAGCCACCATTCAGCCTCCAACCCCTCCCAAGAGTAAATCAGAGGAGGTCAATGCTCCTTGCTTGCAGTCAGGATACAGCTGGTTTTTCCCTCAAAACATTTCTCCTAACCTGAACTTCGAGTCAAGTCCATTAAACACACCCCAAACCCCCTATGATGACAAACTTGGCTATTGGGTGAACATCCAGCCAATTTTTTTAGGGCCTTGTTGTTAAGGATAGACTCTTCTGGACTGTTGCAGGGATAGTAACAAGTCAGGTATGTGTTTAGCTAACTAGATTTCTGTGTATTGAGATTTAAATGCCTTTCCTAAATGTTGCTATTTAGGAAATGCCATTAAAAATATAATATCTTAATATAAATTAAATTTTTTTGGTTTATCCACACGTCTCCTTGGGCAAAAAGAATGATTTTTGCTTTTGTGAAGCTCAACAAATTACAGGAGGGATCCTGCCCTGAGGTACAGTTCTGCTGATCCTCATGAAACCAGGGTCTGACTCAGACAGCATTTGGTTTGCAGATAAATGTACT